TAAATGCAAGTTTGCATTGTTAAAAAATTCAATTTGTAAGAATCTGTAATTTTTATAATCTTTAGACTTCGAATTTAGATCATTGACCGCCCACAAATCACGGCTCTTGTGGCAAGGTTACGTCATCAAAAAAGGGTAGGTTTTTTTTTCCTCCACCAAGTTTTGAGACCTGTGCCTGTAATTTGAACTGCACATTCATTTATTGCTTATGAAAAGCAAAATGTTAATTCCCTAGACTCTATACAGCATACAAGCCTACACTGTACCTGCTACCAGACGAACGCTGACTCATTTTAACATGCATGCACATACAATGATCAGTGGCGGATCCAGCAGGGGGCGCACCCGGCATGTGCCCCCTCTATATTTTGAGAATTACCTCGTGAACATACACATTACTAAGGTTAAATTGTGATCTGCGCCCCCTCTTTATTTTTAATATGCTCTTTGCACCCCTCTAACTCTATTTTAAAATCCTGAATCCGCTACTGATGATATCACATTTAGCAGGGATTTGCAATTTTGTATTATAATGCACTTTATCCAAAACTTACCAGACCATTCTTCATCTTCTTTTAGCACCATGAGGCTGACTGTGGGATTGCTGGTCACCACATCTCCTAGTACGTCATCGTCTATACCAAACCCTTCTTGTTCATCCACAAGTACGAGATCTTCCCCATCCCTTATGTGGAATTTTCTTCTGACTGTAGGAGAGATTAAATAAATGAGAATAAATATCACAGTGCACTTTTCAGTTTCTTACAGATTGATGGCTCAGTCATAATAAACGAATGCTGCAAAAACTGCTGCTACAAGCCCAACTGTGCTATAGTATACAAATAACGCACGTCCCAGAGTGCAATAGCGGTGAATGCAGTACGCACGAGGTTTCTTTATATTGGTGCCGCTCTGTGCAACAAGCCGCTTGCGGCGAGTTGACAGTGCGAACCATCTGAAGAAACCGAGCGAACACTGCATTTACGTTTCGCACAACAGGGTCAAGTGCGTTATTTGTTTTATAAAATAGCGACACAAACAGCAACAAACAAAAGTTTAGATCTTAAGTATACGAGAGTTCGATCTAGATCTAGAGTTATGTTGGTTCTAGAAATAAAATGAGGGTCTAAGACCTTGCAGGCTTACCAAAAAGTCTACAGGATTCATTGTTTGATTAAAAATAAAATGCATAGGGTGTCTAGAGACGAGTCTACATCAGACAGCTGAAATTCCTGGCTTCATTATAAAATCCAAAAGTCAAAACGGGTCTAAATCCAAGGCAAAAGTAAAACAAAAATTTGCTTTCTAATAATACCCCGCTCTAGCTAGAGCTAACGCGTACGCTGCGCTGGGGATCATGGTGGATCTTGGAGCGTACAATATTAGCTACGCGTAGCCTATAGCCTACAATGCACTCGAGGGAGCGTACTAGTACTACGCGTACGCGCGCGCACTGGATCCCCATGGTCACGCGTACGCACCGTGCAATATAACTTTTTACTGCGCTTTTTCTGCACTCATTTCTGCAAAATCGTGCTTGCATCAAAAATTTGTCAATGCCATGTGACGCGTATTGACCAATCACGATGCTTAAAATACTAGGCTAGATCTAGAGCCATTTTATAATACACCCTAAAACTGTTAAATGGGACATCAAGCTCAACCGGGGGTGGAGTTTGGACTGTTGTGTGCGCTACAAATAGTCTAGATCTAGATCTAGATCTAGAGATTGAATTTCCATGTTTATTATTTTTGCATTTTTTTTATTACATGAATGGGGTAGATCTAGTCTAGATCTAACGTTAGATCTAGATCTAGATATCTAGGCCTAATGTCAATGCAGATCTAACGTTAGAACTCTAGATCTAACTGTTAGGCCTAGAAATCTAGAGTCTAGATCTAGTCTAGACTTCTAGATCTAGATCTAGATCTAGCCTAGACCTGATATTTTTGCAAAAACCCAGGATTAGGCCCTAGACTAGGTCTAGATCTACTGATTTTTCCTTTACATTTTGAAACAAATAGATTCTATGTATTAAATAACAATATATAGACCTAGTCTAGATCTATCATGAATGTTTGCCCTTTGGAGTATTTATCAATGATAATTTTTCAGAAATCCATAAAATATTAAATGGCATCATGCTGACCGGATACCCAACCCGGCCGGACAGCCAAGGCATAGTAGGCCTAGACCTCTAGGCCTGGGCTACCCAACGACAGGCGCGGCTAGCGCCAGCTGACGAACACGTAATACTATAGGCTAGATCTATAAAAGTTTATAACAAACAAGAACCATGTAGTGATGTACACTTACTGAGTTCAAAGAATCCTACTGTGTCTTCTGGATCTATAGGCAGGTATTTTCTAATACTTCGATCCGCTGAACAGACCCTGACGCTTAATGGCATGGTTGCATGCACTTCGATCACTTCACATCTAGAATCTAGGCCTAATTTGAAGAATTACTACTCCAGAATCAAGACTTCAAGTCAGTGCCAGTGAAATTCTCTAGCCACATGCTCTCGTCTAGCTGTGCGCGCGCAGCTGCAGAGGCGCATATCGGATCATATGACAACTTTCGTCCAATGATTTTCGTCGAATTCTCTAGCTTATGCGCATGTGCGATTTTATAACACCAAATATGACACCATCAGCCTGTAATTGAATATTTTCACACCGTTGGTGTTATTTTTCGCCAATCGGACATGAAATGAACACCAAGGGTGTTGATATTTTTCTATTCCATGCTGGTGTTGAATATTTAACACCCTGGTTTTTGCAGATAGTCAGCCTCATATAGATAATAATAATAATATTGTATGGCTTTTTTTCGTGTGATACAAAAATATATTGTTCTCGCTATGACAATATTAGACGAGTCAATCGAAAGCCATCCAATATTATGTAATATCCCGGCCCCCCCCCCCCCCCCCCCACTCAGAGGTCGGAATGACCGCATGCGTGTTGCCAAAATGTCCGGTAAAGGGGTACTTTTCGTGCGACAAAGTCCGGCCCGAGAATTGTAAAAAAAGGGGTGTATTTGACTTTTCACCCGGAGATTTCTTTAAAAAGGGGGTGTTTTTCTTTTTTTCTCTCATCTCTTTGGACTCCTGAGAAATTATTCCGAATTTAGGGGGGTACATTGAGCATTTTTCCTGATTTAGGGGGGTCTCCAAGGCAGGAAAAGCCCGCGAAAAGCCCGCGAAAAGGGGGTTCGGAAATGTTGGCAGTCCTCAGATAGGGGGTGCTTTCAAAAAGAGGGTACGAGCATATGCGTACCCTAAAGAACACTGAGTGGGGGGGGGGGGGCCGGGGTAAATATCTATCTGGAATATCACATCCTTGTTAAAGGTTATAAATCTTTGTTAAATGTCACAAGATGAATGAGATCTCGAGCATTTATTTATGGTGGAGCCTAGCAGGTCTGAGAAAATGATTTTACAAAGTATTTGAAAATCTATGAAATATATTTAAATGTTTAAGTAACAAAGTATGAGCTGTATGCAGTCCTACACATCAACACGGATCAACTTATATTTGGATGTCATCCGACCTTTAAGTTGATTCAAATATCCATGCAAGTGTTCATCCTATATGTTTTACGATTGTTGCGCTAGATTGGTGGGGGAGTGAGACCTGGGCCCCGTATTACAAAGAGTTGATATCAATCGCAACTATGTACATAAGAGATAGGAGACTGCAAACTTGCGATAGATTGAAGGACTTACGATTGATTTGGATCAATCGTAACTCTTTGTATTAAACACGGGGCCCTGGCGTCCTGCCGGATGTGGCAGGCAACTTAGCAGGTGCATCAAATATTTTTAAACCAATCACTTTCTTGTATTGTTTAACAATGGTTTATATTAGAGTTGCGAGTGATCCAAATCAATCTCAAGTCCTCCAATCAATCGCAAGTTTGCAGTGTACTTTCCCTTATGTACATAGTTGCGATTAATATCAACTCTTTATAAATGAATGAATAAATGAATGAATACATAAAAGGATATAAAATAGATGAACAAATGTATTCAGCGCCTATTGTTATTGTTATTGCTTTTTCTTAATATTTAACTATCATAACCGTCATCATAATCTATTCATTATTGTTATTTTCACAGTTCCAAGTATCACCCTCAACTATCATACATGTATACAGCAGTATATTCTTCTTCTTCTTCTAATCCCGGGGGAGGGGGGATCAGATTTGGTTTGGAAGGGGGTGTGTCGCTCAAGCCTCGAAACCCCTACCCATTTTTAAGGGTAATTTGGGGGGATTTTTCTCGAGGTAAAGCCCATTTTGAAAACACGGACCCATGTTTAGGATTTTTTTTTTTTTTGAGGGGGGGGGGGGGTGAAAAGGTGACCCATTAGAGCGGCACACCCCCGTATGTCTTAATAAGGGAGTTTACAGATAGCACATGGTACAAATACCCCACATATCCACAGATCTTTTACACATGGAGAAGTTCCACTTTGAGCATCTCAGAATAATAACTGCCAAAGTCCTAGATGTGCTTCATGAATAGCCTACCTTTTTGTTTTACCTCTTGGAAAGAATACTTCCACCTGCGTATCGTAGAATGTACCGTTGGCGCATACATGAATAATGTTACATAACTTTCATGAGCACATATCCAGTATTCATCTCTGTGGGATTTACCATTTTGGTACAAATGACCTTCATCTGCCCATGCGCAGATTGTATCTATGAACTGGCTTATTATGTGAGTACCTATTCTTCTTCCTCCTCTTAATCTTATTTTTCTTTTTTTTCTTCTTCCTCTTCCCCCTCTAATTATTCCTATTCTCCTTCATCCTCAATTTCCCTCTTCATCCTATTTACTTTTTCTTCTTCTTCTTTTTCTTCTTTTCTTCTTCTTCTTCTTCTTCTTCTGCTTCATCTTTTCATAACAATTTGCATTTTGTATTATTACATCATCATCACTATTCGTATGGTTATTATGATTTTATCGTCCTCATCATTATCCTGACAGCTCCAAGCATCGCCCTGACTTGTCATAGTTGTGGGTATCTCATTGGAGTAGGAGACTATGACTGCGATGACCCCTTCTTAGGTCAAGCTGAGAATGTGACGTGTCCTGATAACTATTATTGTAAAGTAAGTATGATGATCAGCACAATGTCTTCGTGGTTATGTCGTTGGTCCGAAGGTTCGTTAATCCGAAAGTTCGTTCATCCGAAAGTTCGTAAATATTCTGAAGGTTCACAATTATACGAAAGGTTCAGATTCCTGCATCATTTTACAGAATTACGAATCTTCGGAATATTAATAGAACCTTACATGTAATTCATTTTCGGACGAATCTACGAAATACTTTCGGATAAATAAAACTTCGGAATAACGCAACATATCTAGGAAATTATGAAACCTGTTCAATTTTCAGAATAACTACTCATAATTATTAGCAACAATTAGTAATCTTATTTTCGTTACTATACAAACATACATACAGTTTGAAAATATAATTTGTTTATTAAATGAATCATAGTGAAAGAATATTGCAAAATTTAACCGAAACATTCCAATTTGTATACACGAAAATAGTGATTTCATATTTTACACTCCGTTGCCAATTGAGAGACTCTAATGATAAGTTGCAATTGAAATCGCTCTTATTCGAGAACGGCATAACGCAGAGACATCGGAAAACGACTTTAAATTGTCTCTTCTTTTTTTTTTTTTTTTTTTTTTGCTCTTTCTGCTCAACATGTGTAACGTATCATGTGTAATTTTTTAGCATTCTAGATCAAAATATAATGCAAAAACGTCGGTACTAAAAAGGCGACAATGTACTGCGTACTGATATATGGGTTAAACATGTGGATCGGGTCTCAATTCAAAGACCTTTATTTGTGAAGATTGGTGGGCCCGTCTTTTCTTTCTATCCAAGGTTATAGAGTTAAAAAAAAACGGATGAATGGGAAAATATTATCATAAACTAGAACCGTTTGAAAAAATGGTAGCGAATCGTCAACTCTCCTGAAGATACGAAAGTACATACAGATGTCGTGTTCATGTCTGCTCTGTGAGACCAGGGAAATCCCTACACGGTGAGACTTAGACCGAATTTTCCGTCTCTTTCGTTCGTTAGCCTCTTATTGGGGTAGGGTCGGCTCTCTCTTAGAGCCGACCCTACCCCAATAAGTCGGCTCTCTCTTAGAGCCGACCCTACCCCAATAAGAGGCTAACGAACGAAAGAGACGGAAAATTCGGTCTAGGTGAGACTATACTGGCGGCATATTGCAGATAGGCTCTGGGGGTGTTTCATAAAGAGTTCTTAAAGTTACGCATGATTTTACGAACGACTTGTATATGAAGTACCAGATAGGATGCCCAAAGTTTGTTCCGATATTTCCAATAACCTCAATTAAATTATGGCAAAAAATATACTTTGCATTAATAATGGTTATTATAATAAGAATGTTAATCTACAGCTGCACAGTTCAACTTAATAAATAATAATCAATAATGATTAAGCATCCCATTTGGCTTGTCATATACAAGTCGTTCGTAAAGTCATGCGTAACTTTACGAACAGCTTTATAAAACACCCCCAGGTTACATCCCCCTTTCTCTGTCTCTCTCTTCATATAGTATATAGATCTACCCAGGCGCGTACACAGAGGGGGGGGGGGGGGTGTTTAGGGGGTTAACCCCCCCCCCCTTTTGGTATTTTTGTGTGTGTAACCCCCCCCCCCCCATAACCCCCTAACCCCCCCCCCCTCCCCACCCCCTTTAGATTTTTAAAATAAATTATTAAATTATTCCAATGGCTGACGTAAAAAGGTGGCCTCACCCCCCCCCCCCCCCCCCCCCCCCCCCCCCCCCCCAACGTAGCAAAATGTCAAACTTTCAAATTTCTCCCTCTAGGCCTAAAGGCCTAAACAAAAAGATGTTGTATTGCCCTTTAAGTGCCAAAACATGGGTCGGGCGGTCGGAAATCCTTTTTTTTTTTTTCGGTCCTGAAATGCGCTATGTGATAACTAGTTATTATTGTTAAGTGTGTATATGGCAAATAATCCAAAATCGTGCATTCAATTTCAGTAAATATAGCGAATTTGGATTCGTACCCTCTCGTAACTTCTCTCTCGCTTCTCTCTTCAATCATCTGTTCTCCTTCATATTATATCCTGCAGAAAGGCACTATTTCTAACGGCGGCACCATTACTGCACTTGAGCGTTCATGCGAGCCGGAGTGTTCAACCGGTTGCATCGATTTCCTCGGCTCAAAGTTATGCGGCTATTGCTGCCGTTCCGACTTTTGCAACAGCGCCACCAACGTTCAGTTCAACTCAGTGACGTTCCTCACGACTCTTGTGACGTCCATCGTTATTATGTTTCACTAAAATGGTTGAAAATGACCTAGTGAGGAAGTTTTTTCTGCAGTTGAGTTCAATGGTTTCATATGGAGAAATGATTGAGATAAGGACAAGGAAATGCATAGCATACGAAAGTGAGGTATCACATGATTACATATGCTATACAGGGCCCCGTCTTACAAAGAGTTACGATAAATCCAAATCAATCGTAAGTTCTCCAATCAATCGCAAGTTTGCAGTTTCCTATCTCTTATGTACATAGTTGCGATTGATATCAATAGCAAATAAGTTGCGATTGACATCAACTCTTTGTAAGACAGGGCCCTGATGAGCAGATAGTTGTATTAAATTCCAATAGGCCATTTCCATGATGTATCTAAATTTAATGCCAACGTCTTTTAGAACGTCTTTTGTGTCTCGATGAGATTAAATTCACCTGTTAGGCCAAATAAAAAAAAAAACATGTTTAGCGTCCTGTTTTTTCGAAAAACAGGAAGGAGGAGCCTTTTTTTTTTTTCTTTCTTTCAAAATGGCTGCTCAAAAGGGCCGCTCGGTACATTTTCCCTGACAGTCGGCCTATTTTTCAAGATGGCCGCCGACATTTTTTTTTTTTTTTTTTTTTTAAATCCGAAATAGATCCATTTTAGCAGTGTTTTTCATGTTTTTTTTTTAAATTCAAAAAAAAATTCAAAAAAAAGAAATTCAAAGAAAAAAAAAAAAAAGGGGGGCGGCCCCCAAAAAGGAAGTGGGCGGGGACGCTAAACATGTATATTTTTTTTACATGGCCTTACTGATAATTGTAATTCAATAGTTGGAATGCAAATTCCTTCCAACAACAAATAAATGTAATTTGCATATTCAGAATGTTTAAGATTAAAGTGTTCAATGTTTTTAAATAGAATTCAAGTCTTTCTAATTGTTAGGCCCCATTCCTGATGTTATTCTCCATATCACACGTTTTACTTCGTAATTTGACTATATTATCGTCTCCTGGTTTCAGATACGAATACAAAATTGTAAGCAGAACTATGCTTTTGTGCGTATTGGGTAAGGCAAGACATAATGCGTGTCCTACCTGGCAACAACAAATCTATGTAATTCGCAGTTTTTAAATCAAAATTATTAATGTTTGTAAATAGAATTTAAGTCTTTCTATTCAATTTTGAAGTTACTTGTTATTCCTGATGTTATCCTCCATTTAATACATGTTACCTTGTACTTTGAATATAATACCTACACCTTATCTTAGACCAAATACTAAATTATAACAGGTCTTTCTGAAAGAGAAGAATATATTATATATATATATATATATATATATATATATATATATATGAATATACACACTGTATATCAGTGCTATGCTTTTGTACATAGAGTCTCATAACATAATTTATCATGCTGACTGACGTGATGTATAGCCTTGATCTTGTGACTAGGGATCACTGTTATGAATATAAATATTTGAAATAACTGATCTCGTAATATCTCAGTCATACCGTCCAACCGACTACAAACCGACCGATCCTAATTGGCCATTGGATGTAATGTCATTGGTTTTTTTCGGTTTGATGTCGGTTTGTTATCGGTCTCGTCCGTGTGACTGAGGTATCGGTTTGAAGTGCCTTTTGTGTTCATGGCAATTTGAATATTAAAACAGCCAATAGACGATGGTATCATTTTGCTATTTATAGTGTTGTTTTTTCTCACCCAATGGTGAACGAATGGTAAATTGTTATCAGTGATAGTTATCTAATATCCTAGATTACATTTTATCCCTTTTTTGTGAAAGCATAATTTTTCTCAAAAGAGAGATTAAGAAATATTTATACTGTAAAAGCATATATTTTTGTTAAATCTATTTATCTCTTTTTTTGCTTATTTATCTTTTAATTAATCTATTTATTTATCTATTTTTAAATATCTTTGATGGAGGCAAAAGGAGAGGGAGACACAGCGGGAAAGTTTAGAATTTATGAGGGAGAGAGAGGGAGAGAGAGAGAAGTAAAAGGAAATTAAGAGAAAGGGAAAGCCGGGAGAAGTACACATAGAGAGTGGATGGGGGCATAAAGAAAGGCAACGAAAATAAAGTTTGGGGAAAAGAGAACAATACATATGTTTAAAAAGGGAGAGAAGGTAAGAGGACACCTTTTTTTTTGGGGGGGGGGGGGGGTCTCGAAATTTGAAAATTTGACATTTTGTTTCCGTTGGGGGGGGGGGTAAGGTCACCTTTTTTTAGGTCAGCCATTGGCATAATTTTTTTTTTTTTTTTTTTTTTTTTAATAAAAAAATAATAAACAAATAAAAAAAAATCAAAAGGGGGGGGGGGGGTTTCACAAAAAACATACACAAAACCTACACATAAAAAAAAAACTCAAGGGGTGGGGGTTAACCTTTAACAACCATGGCAACTTCACTCAACAGCCCATTAAAACAAGATTTCCATGAAAGTCACCCTGAATTCCAAGTTTTATTGCAATGGGGGCCCATGCAGAGGTCTAGTCTAGAAGGGCTTGAAATGTACTCTAAAATCATGGATGTACAATAAACTCTACTGTTGTTAGCACGTAACATAGGATATGGGGCATAACGCACCCGCTTGGACTTGCCTGCACGTTATGTCTATTTATGGACGTTATGTAACAGTTGCAATGGAGAAGGAAAATCTAAATATCAAGATTATTCTACACGTTAGGCATCGGCACTAGTCTATTAAGGTATGTATTAAGGTATGTATAAGGGCAGATACAGAATTTTCTGGGGTAGGGGGTGGGGGTTTTCGAACAGTTTTGTTACTTTGGTCTATGATCAAAGTATGATGATGGCAATTCATGACGATGCTGAGTGAAGAACTGTTGAGTCCTTGCTATGAATATCTGCCCCTACTTGATTTCTTTAATCAGGGACCCGTTTCACAAAGCCTTTTTTCAGTGACAACTGACAAAAGTTAGTGACAAATCTGCTGATAACCAATCAGAAGCAAGGATTTCAGTAGCTTATAATAAGAATTGTCATTTGTCACTGAGGACAAGTTTTGTGAAACACCCCTCAGATCGAAGCAGGTATCTCCGGAACCCCGATGAACAGTAGCTTAGCACATCCTATCATGATTGGTACTGTCCCAGCCTTTCAGCACACCTCGAAGACTCCTCATGCAGATCCTCGAGTGGCCATTCCAGGGGCACATGCCCAATCGGCTGAGGCTACGACCCGACCGGAATCACCAGCTTTACCAGGACAAGTGCAATCGGTCATCCCCTTGCCAGGACAACCAGATTTTGCCCGAGCAGAACCACCTCAAATTTTTCAAGAAGCTGACAGAAGTAAGTACATTTGTATATCTGTGCATTATTCTACACGTCCCTAACCTTCCCATGAATTTTTTTTTTTTTAATATACAGTGCATCCTAGAAAATGTTAATACTGTAATTTTGGTATTAAACAGTGAACACGTTGGTGGAATAGAATGTAAGCTGTAGAATATATTCCAAGAATTTGGTTTCGTTCTTTATGGGACGCACTGTATATCAAGCAAGCTGAAAAATGGGGTGGTTAAAACCTGTCATCCCAAGTTGTCTGTAGTTTAGAAGGTCAACTGACATCTACGTTTACGTAGGATATTGGATTATATTTATAGTAATAAATGGAAAAGAAAAAAAAAATCTAACAAGCTTTACTACATTCATATCTACTGCAGATCTTAAACAAGTCTTTAATTAAAGTAATATTTATATATTGCCTAGGTTTCAAACGGCTTACAAGTGGATCTATATTCAAGGGTGGCTCCAGGATTTTATGAAGGGAGGGGACCAAATTTTTAAAGGCCGTCTGTACTAGTTTGGCCAGGAGTGATTAGACCACACAGCGTGGCCACTGACAGGTGGCTATTTCATCAACGTAAGAAAAAGAGGATCATGGGGGAACAATGGTCACCGCTTAGGCACTGTTTCCTATATAGAGGGAGCAAGTAGCTACAAGTAGTACAGTGGGGCTTTAAAAGAGAAAATTCTGACGAGTAAAAAGAGTGAACATATCCTCAAATCTCTAGATGGAATAGGAATAAAAAATATTACAAATAAATAACAGGGGATTTGGTGGATCTGCTCTAGCACTTTACGAGGCAACATTCTTATAAAAAAACAAGGAACAATCCCCTAAAAGATTAGATATCTGGTCACCTGAATCATGGGATTATAACATTGCTTTTAGGTGCAAACAGACTTGCATTGAATATTTTTCCTGATTACACTCAATTAGCACTGCCACTGGAGAATACAATCTGAAAACCATGGCTTGTAGGCCGGTCTCAGAAATTGAAAACATAGGAGCAAGAATGATTAAAGACAAAATCAATTATTTTCATATTTATTATTTAATATAATTGTGCTGTGACGAAACAACAAGAAAACAAGTCATAATATGATCTTCCTCATCAACTCTACAAAATTAAGTAATGCAAAAATTGTGTATTTCATTTCACTCTCAATAATGTTTATAAACATATTACTAAATTAATTTGTATGCTATATTCTACTAAAATTTGAATCAGACTTTGGGTCCAAGTTTTCTTAAACATGATTTTAGCCAAGGTCTGAACTCAGATAGACAATTTTGACATGATTTGCAGCTGCTCCCCCTCCGACCTACGAAACAGCCGTGGGAGGTCCTCATGAAATGGAACGCACAGAGGGTTCCTTCTCCTCCATCATGTATGCTGCAATGGGTATCCCAGAGTGGACGTTGGGTCCATCAGATGGAGGGCATCCCTCACCTACAGTCACCCAGTCCCAAAGCATTCAACATCCACCCTAAAAACCTTGACTGGGTCGGACTGGACCATCTAAAGCAGGAGATCTAGGCATGAGAGGCCAGGCTGGGGGCTGTATCTCCCCCCCCCCCCCACCCCCCTCACGAGATCTCATATATCTGCAAATTTAGAGAATGTCGCGATTGGATATTTATTATTAGTAAGGTCACTGTATAATACATACATAATAGCTACAATAGAGGAATCATGATTTCACCTCCGACCACATAGGTACAAGGGGTTCTGGCCCTCTTATTCTTAATTATAAGTTGTCATAATGAAATATAATATCATTACTTGTGTAGATTTGATTCCACAATTAACATCTTTATAAGATAAGGCTTTACTGGTAACCATTTCTATGCCACAATAAAAAAAAATCTGATGCATATATGCACCATTTCAGTTTCAGGCATAATGCTAATATGTATAATTGCAATTACAACATTCTTAATCATTATAAGGCACTATATTCCACATTTATATACCTAATATTGCGCTTTGTATAGTATATTTCATTAGAAGGCTTATGATATCTAAATCAAACATTGACTATATTCTTTTCAAACCAGGTCAATACCTATATGGTGCAATGCTCTTCACCTCACAAGCCACCTACAGTGAGATGCGATTCATCAGTGGTGCTCACACCAAACACTGAATTCCATTTCATGGCGAATCTCACGAGCAGGCTCTATTGTTTAGAGACAATTAGCAAATATGAGATTAGCACTTCGGTACTCAATTCAATTTAATTTTGTTAGTACAACTGTTTTTTTAATTGACTGAATTAGACATTAATTACATTTTTCAATAATAGCATTAAAAAAACAGTACTTGCAAAATAACTCATGCATGATAGTCTGAAGTGTAATAAAATATTGCACTGGAGCATTTCCAGGAATTAATTCCTGCCTTGTATACCTCACCTTGGTAGAATTTAGACAAGTCAATGCAAAGCATAGCATCCCCTCGCAGGGTACAAATGGCCTATATACGTCAGAACAAGTTACCCCCATTGGGCTATACTATGATGTTACTAGGCAAGGAAGTTAACCACATTTGTTTTTTGCATATTTAATGAGTTATGACCTACATACTCCGAAATCGAACTTGGGCTTTATTTTGATACCATGTACCTTCATACCAAATTTGCTACACATGGACACACGCACGGAAGGACGGACAGCAGCGTTACTATATCCCCTCTGACTTCGTCGGCGAGGGGATAAAAATGTTCATTAATGTCTTGTCATATTACATTAAATGCCACAACGGAACTAGATCCATAATCCTACAAGTTGTGATATATTAAGTTGAAAATTGATATATTTTGTTCTTATAACAATTTCTGTACAATATCATACCACTATAATTCCATAAACACTCTTAATTTTTTTATGCAAATCTTCCGGATACTTGCCTAGCATAAACATAAAAAACCGACATACATTTATAATGGCTTAACATTGTTCAATGATGCAAGGAAACATGGATTGTGCTCCATAGTCTTGTGGATCCAATGTGCATCCTGTATACTGGCCTTGTTAAATAGTTATTGATGCCAGCCGTTTCTCTGCTGGCATAAATCACAGATAGGGCTGCTCTTCAACTCGAAATCAATATAAAACCTGTTTGTGTGTGCTGTTATAAGCCATGTTAAACACAGTTTGTCTGCTCTGTAGTGTCGTCTTCAAGTTTATTTGGATGAAGCTGGTATTCAAAGATCTTCAACCATATCGACGGCTTTCTTTGCCACCCTGGTGCTTGTATGATGCTCCCCGAGGAAGAGCTTGAAGACACGGTAAGCCTCCTCAAACTGGTACTTGGCACGCTGGAACATCTGGTTCCCAAAGAACTGTGCTCCAAGATTGTATCTGTGAAAAAAATGAAATACATAAATATATTATGATATAATTTCATGAGCAATGTGTTGTGTTTGCAATACAAACCGTATATCTCATGCCTACTGAGGGCGTAGTCACCTGATTGTAGATTGGAGCCGCCATATCAAACATATTATTGAAACCAGAATTTCTGTCTTAAGTTTGCTTTATTTAGGACTCAAACATAGTACAATAAAATTTTGTAATGATTTAAAGCATTGAAACAATTTTATTTTAAAATCATAAACTACCCCTACAATACTGCAACAAAATATTTTGGCAGTTTTCCAATAATCACATCTTCCTAAGGATATGTTCATACAACACTTTAAAAACCAACAATGAATTTCAAGGCAATAGGAATTATCCCTTGCAAATAAACTAAAATTCCTTCAGCAATCTTTTTTGAAGTATATCAAAAACCTTGTGTCTGAATGGGTTTCGATGCTAAACTTCTCCTCACCTTACTGTAGCCACATCAACATGATCTTTGCCATATGCCTCGAGTAGGATCCCCAGGGCTAGACTGAAGGTCTTCTGTGTACCACTAGCATTCATATCATCCTGGACCAACCCGATGTTGTTCAAGATGGCCGCTATGTGGGGATGCTCGGGGCCGCCTTCTCTTTGAGTCTCGTTGAAATCAAAGGTGTGGCAAGCTACGGCCTCCTCCAATCGACTCTGGTCGTAGAGTATCTCGCCAAGCTAGAGGGCAATCAACATGAAATAAGTAGTCACATAATGAAACTTTACTATATCATTTAATTACAAAATTCTGCAGATGAATAAAAATTGCCAAAACTCGAAACAACATAACTTGCCCAGTGCTACATGTATATTGTTCCAAATATTTTTTTTGGTTATAATTCATATCCCACTGCTGCCACCATCCCAATAGAGTGAAATTTAGACACCAAATTTGGCTTACATTATCATTAGAACCGATGGATGGATTACAATCAAACTCTAAACATGTATCTTGCAGAGCCCATGAACTGATTAGATTTTGGGGTCAAAGGTCATGGGGCTCGTTATGTATGCAAAATAGCTTGTGATCACATTATCATTAGAACTGATGGATGGATTACTATCTAACTCAGAACATGTATGTATCTTGCAGAGCCAATGAACTGATTAGATTTTAGGGTCATACAATATACATGTATATGAAAAATGGCTTGTAATCATGATGTTCTGAGAACCTGTTAACGAAATACAATCAAACATGAATTTTAAAAATTTGTAAAATTGTTCTATGTCAGAGGCATCATTTTTTTGACTGTGCAGTCGAAAATCCATCTACTTTATTTTCATTACGCAGTAAGTGTCAACCATGCGTTTTTTTTAATGTCAATACAAACTAATTGCTAGAGAGCAGTTAACAAAATACAGATCGTGCAAAATCTTTGGTCATTTGTGTCCCATGTTAACACATAGGCTTTCGTTATAATACCAGGGGGGTGTTTCACAAAGACTAAGATTGACTTTAAGTTAGACTTAACTATGGCAGGCCATCCATGCCACTGTTTGCTCTCACTGGCATTTTGTCTCAATTAGGGACATAAAAATCATGGTCACAAATCTACAGAATTTACATTTTTTGATAATTCATTATTGAAGGAAACAATATTATCTAAAGATCATAATGATGATATCAAACAATGGCATGAACAGCCTGCCATATTCAAGTCCAACTTAAAGTCGATCTTAGTCTTTGTGAGAGACTCCCAGGTCGCAATTTCTCTTGGGTATGGAATGACAAGATGGAGATGAATGCCTTGCCAAAAGATTGAACCCACAACCTTTGTATTTCAAGTCAAGCGCTTAAACCACTCGACCACGACACCTCTACATGATGGAAGGATTCCCCCCCCCCCCCGAAAAAAAAAATGTGACCAAAGACCTCACCATTCCAAGCAGAGCAGCTGTGTAATGGTGGTCGTGACCTACGACCTCTTTGCTGACCCCTAGGGCTCGCATCAGTAGCTTCTTGGCAAAATCTATGTCACCTTGACGACGCTGGACAGATCTGATCAACAAAGTAATGAAAATAAAATTAATTTTCCCTCATCATTTCTTGTAGTTTCATATTTCAGTAATTAAACAGCACTTTAAGTACTACAGAATATTTTTTTACTTTAAAATCAAAGGCACATTATGCTGTAACAAACCTGTTATTATCTTATAAAAATATATGCATTTATGAAGGGTAGATTTAATAGGAGTATATTAAAGAATTGTAAGGAGCAACTTTGCGCAAAAAACAGTAAACTCTCATAAGAGGGAAAATGCTGAATTTCATAAATTATGATGAACTAAATTGTGCTTCCTCCTTCGATTCTAGTTACTGGAGAGCAACTGTAAGCTATTATCTACTTACACCATGGTAATGACTGCCTTGACTAGCTGGAGTTTCTGCTGTGGGGTCTTGACCTTGGTCAGCCTAGAGAGGGCGTCTTCCAGATATTCTTCGGAAGCTTTGAAGTTGCCTTGTTTCAGACAAACATTTCCCAGCTCTATCAGGACCTGAGGTTTACATCAGGAAGACACGAAAAGAGATGATACAAGCATACAAATAAACTGACTGCTGTTATATTTCACATATATCCTAAAACAAGACTATTTCATTACAATTACAATTACAATTTCCACACAACTGCGCCAGGAGTGTCATTTTTGACAGACATAGCGCATTATAAATGTTCACTATTATTATTATTATTATTATTATTATATGCGTGTAGCTAATCCCAGTTTGATAGAAACCTTTTTAAAATTAAATTCACAACAATAAAACAGACACTATAGCCATCACACTTTTAAAAGTGGTTACTTTCTTGCATATACGCCTGGCAGAGGCAGAATTGTCTATATCACATCTGTTTTCTTGTTCTCTGGAGATGGTGCACACAATGTTTGTTATCATGTTGATGCAGGTACCTGTATATCCTGCATCAATGTGAGTTTGGTATTAAAACGATAACTTACATCAATGACGGTGGGATGGTTACATTTGAGTTTCATGCTGTAGTTGAAATGATGTCGTACGATGGTAGAATGCTCAGCAAGGTACCTCAACTCGATCTCCTTCAGCAAACGCTCATTCAAGACCCTAAAAAACAAGAAAAGTGTAACGATTTTAAGAATAGCTAGAACGTTATCAACTGGTAGACATGATTAAGACATAAGTGGAAAACGTACATTTATCGGCCATCTTGATAATGACGACTTCACTGCGATTTTATAAGACTGTATTTACTGCCTTGACAACTTGTATAGCACTTCATAATAATATTGATTATTTATGAGCACTTAAACCAAAAAGCACCATAGCACTTAAAAAAAAAAGAATGTGAAGAGAAACACTGAGGGAAGAAGTATGTTTTAAGGGATCTTTTGAAAGTGGCACAACAGATAAATTCTCTGACGGAACATGGAATATTGCTCCACATGTTCAAAGCAGCTACTGTAAAAACAAAATTTGGTACTTGGGAGTCTGGATTTGGGTAAAAATTGGTGTATATTTATCACTTGTTGAGCAAAGTTTGCATGCTGATGTATTTATTTTTAGCTATAGTTTTAGCCTGGGGCACCAGTCAAAATGTTACCTACCTAGCACCCGTTAGCAATCCGAGTTGCATGAAGAAGACGGCCATGAACTTGATGAGTTCCACCTTGTCTTTATCCTGCTCCCAGTTAACCTCACATTTAGACAGGACGTCCAGGTAGGCCTGTTCCACGGGCTCAAAACCTCCCAACTAAGATGGAAAATAACATGATAAATCATGTAGAGGTGTTGTGGTCTAGTGGATAAGTCCCCGGACTGTGGACCATAAGGTACATGGTTCCAATCCCAGCCTCAACACCAACGTCCTTTGGCAAGACGTTAATCTACATTTGCCACACTCCACCCAGATCAAGTAAATGGGTACCTGGTAGGATTAATCCTTGAAACGCACTGTGCTCGGATAACGGCTGCCAAAGCTAGAGCTAGGGTAATGATTTCCAAAGCTCTTTGGAAGCGCATAGGGACATTATAATCATCAGCTGATTATTATTATTATTATAAAGCAGATTGATTAAACCTTCCATGCTGTACATGGTTTAAAGGGGCTCAAAGTTTCAACATCAGGGAGGTGTTTCACAAAGATCCTAAGTTGAACTTATCTCTCCAAGTTGGAATAAACAATTATGGAAAGCTGTTAGGATCTATGAAAATATTTTGTAAAAGTTATTTTAAAAGGCATAAGATGTTGATTCAAATCATTTATATTTTATATTATCAAGGAGATTTCTTGTTCTTGATGTGGCATTTTATAAAAAGTCTAAACTACTTCAATTTTTGCTTTTTAATATATTTCATTTTAAGGCTACAAGTGGCTCTCCATAAGTTTTAAGTCCAACTTTTTAAGTTCGACTTAAGATCTTTGTGAAACACCCCCTGATCAAAAATACATGCATGGATGTTGCTATGGACTTCCACTAACTTGTCAAAGTGCATTCACATCTACCAAAGATGGAAACATATTTGGGTGCTTTCATATCCTGCCTTAACATTGAACAAAGGTTTCTTTACCCTGAAATTCAGACATTTTAATTTCAATATACAAACGTTTCAGCTTCAAATATTCTACCTAAATAGCACTCTTTTTCAAAGATGACTTTTGAGCATCAATACATGCACACAGGTACACATAGGTGAACTTCTGTACATGTTTTCATATCTTTTTTTATCCTAATCCACCTGAATATCTCAGTGTTGGGATGAATTTACATATAATTCATTACATTATATATAGCTATATCGAGGGGTCAGTGACACAAAGACGTAACTCTATTTTGGCCATTTTGAGAAAAAGTGGTTTATGTGTCACTGAGCACTTGAGCCTTAAGGAGTTAAGTCTATCGGCGTGTTTCTATCTAAAGCCATTATCCGCCATTATCCGGTTAATGGCCGGTAAGGGATAAAGTTTTCCTAATAGAAACACACTTTCTCCGGCATTATCCGGATAATGCCGGAGAAAGCTTTTACGCGTTCACCGGCAAAATTATCCTTCTTTTAGAAGGATAATGCAGGGGAGGCTAACCGGATAACGTAGATAGAAACACACCCCGTTCCGATTGAGTGCACATGCCGGTGAGAAACCGGAAATAGGAGTGATCACGTGATCGGAAAATTTTACCCCGACACGCGCGACACTACAATCCCGGGTTGACCTAGCAGTCCCACAATACCTTGCGGTGACCTGTTTAGCCAGAGTTCGATGAACTTTTTCACCGCCTTTTTTCTGGCTAGATCGGAGCGGTGTATTTTATCCTGGTAATGCGCGTAGATATTAACTGCTCTTCCCTGGCATTATACGCTTATTTCTTCAACCGGATAATTCAGTATAACTAATAGAAACACGCTGTATGTTTCACTAGCATTGGCTTCAATGGTGTGTTGGGTGGAGTTAAGTCTTTGTGTTTCCTGGAAAGCCCACATTTTTCTGAACATTTTGACATCAAATACTCATTTTGGCAAAATATGGAGTTGTGTCACTGCAGGCGCGGATCCAGGATTTCTTAGGGGAGGGGGCCCAACTTTTCTTTTTTTTTGCTCCCGAAAATTTGAAAAACGCGCCGGCCAAAAATTCGCTCAGTGGGGGGTAGTGAGCACATTTTTTTTTTTTTTGATCCTCAAGGGTCTTTTTTGCCGCCGAAAAAAATTCAAAGTCGGGGGTGCGTCTTATACACGGTACACACACACAAAACAAACAAATAATGCCTGGCAATGTCTCCCAGCTCAGTAAACGGTATGTTGACTTACCACTCGGAAACTAGAACACTCAAATTTGTCTGTCATCTTGGTTTGAAAGTAATCTTACTGATAGATCTCAATATGTAGTTTATAACAATAATTCCTCTAATATTTCCTCTATTACACGGTGTACCACAAGGTTCTATCCTAGGTCCTCTACTGTTTTTAATTTACATTAATGATATTACACATTCAGCTTCCTTACCATTCTCCAGGCCATGATGAGCTGGAAGTTGCCGTCCTCCGTCTTCATCAGGAACTGAAAGACGTTGACATTGAGGATGGTAGCCTTCAGACGGGTCAGTTCCTTGGCTTGGATCAGTAGGTATGGCACCTCATCAGACTGTAAAAGAAAAAAACAAATAAATGATACCAGGGGGGTGTTTCACAAAGACCCTAAGTCGAACTTCACTCTAAGTTGGACTTAAACTTTATGGAGAGCCATTTGTAGCCTTAAAATATAATATATTCAAAAGCAAAAATTGAAGTATTTAAGACTTTTCATAAATTCCACATCAAGAACGTGAAATCTCCTTGATAATAGAAAATATGAATGATTTGAATCAACATTTTATGCCCTTTAAAATTACCTTTACAAAATATTTTCAATAGTTGCTAACAGCTTTCCATAATTTTTAAGTCCAACTTAGAGTTAAGTTCGACTTAAGATCTTTGTGAATCACCCCCCAGGTGTGAGAGTGCTCAAAACCGAATATATAGATCATCTCTATGATACATGACGGCTAATCGGTGTCACAGCACTCACTGCATACAATACATGTATATGACATTGAGGATGGTAGGCCAGCCTGTTGGGTCCTTCTCTTAAATCAGTAGGTGTGGTAGGTGTGGTAAGTATTATAAAGTGCTGAAAACTATATGAACTCTTTCTTTCCTGTATAGTAGATACCTTTTACTTAACACATAGCTCAAAATCAATAATTTGCACTTTAACATATGGACATTTTCATACTCCTGTACAAAGATGCTTGCCATTTTGTACACTGGCCTATTCTTCTGTATTTCTTGTGTTGAGTCACCTCGTCGACAAATAATCCCTGTGGGCTGTCGATAAATGATCTCAGCAGAAAACATATTCACAACTATATCCAAAAACCTCTAATCTGATGTAGAAATAAAGTCCTAAAGTTTACCATTTACCATTTACAAAAAAAAACTTACATATCTATCATCAATATCCTGTGCATTGAAGAAGTTTGACAGCTCCACAAACTTCTTGCGCTTGTCCTCATCCGTGGGCAGGTAGCGACGCTCAACGGCTTGTCTGAGATGATCGTGGAAGAAGTTCAGCAGTCCGTTGCGGTTGATGAGATTGTCCTCCAGGGAGAGGTAGAAAGGAGACCAGACTGCACTCGGTATCTGTAGAGCAATAATACAAACAGTTTTAAAGTAGTTACCCGAAGAAAATTCATGACAACTGATAATTATGGACAGATTATATATGGATGGAAATATTTTCTCTTGAAAAACACAAATAAATTACTGAAAAATCATATAGATATCATGGAAAGGCGTACAATGCTTTTTGGCTAGCTGTGTCTTGCGTGTGACATCACTAATCTTGACGCTCTACGGAGGACCCCTGAAGACAGAAAATCTGAATCTGGATCTCAAAATTAACATTTTTGAGAGATGATTACTGCAGGCCTAAAACATATTTTGAAGAGGGAAGTTGTTGTATTTGATCAGTAAGGCTTCCCCTTCGCAATGATATGAATTTTGCATCGAATCAAAACACTTTTGATTCTTCGAGTGACTACTTTAAGTTTCAAGTTTTGCATCTTTCATTAATTCTTATCCTCCTCCTCACCATTCATATTCCTTCTTCTTAACACCCATCAATACTTCACTCATCATTTTCACCCACGAGTGCGAAAGCTTCTTAATAATTGAATCCATCATCAAGCCATCAACCAACCTCCAAGACACCACCGTCTTTGCAAGTCACACCAATGATGGAGCATCATCACCATCATCACAATTATCATCATCATCATCATCATCATCATCATCATCATCATCATCAGACCATAACTGTAATCATCACTGTGTTCTTACCTTGAGCAAAGTCAGGAGTTCACTCTCACTCATTCCTCTATGTGAGCACCAGATGGCTGTGGTCGTATCCCTCACAAGATTAGGTCTGCATGAGTAAGAATTATAAAATCACATATTGAAATCTAATGTTTCAGTACTTTACTTGTTCTTGACAGAAAAAAGATGTTTCTGTGGATATTTAGTACATTCTAAAACAATTTGATGCTTTTGACAGAACACTTCAAAAGGACAACTGCTAGAAGTGATTTACAGACTTTATAACTTGTCTTGTCTCCCATACATATGGAATACATCATAAGCAAGAAAGGAAATATATAAACTGATTACATTTCCGAACTCTGCATCTCACTGTGACACTGAATATCAACAGACAAATATACTTTTAGTACCACCTTCTCAGTAACTCTCACCTACAAACAGCTCCCTTCTCAAAATCGTTCTCCAACCTCTGCAAGACCTTGACAAAGAGAGCGCCAGGGTCTTCCGCCGTCAAGTAGGACTTGATGGCCGGGGTCAGCTTGAAGAAGTCGCCGTACACACGAACCTGACCCAAAGACAAAAATTAAACATGTTGGCAAACATTTGAGGTTCACATTAAAGGCCCACTGTACTACTTGTAGCTACTTGCTCCCTCTATGTAGAAAACAATGCCTAATCGGTGACCATTGGTTCCCCATGATCCTCTTTTTCTTATGTCAATTGAGACCCGAGTTGATGAGATAGCCACCTGTCAGTGACCACCCTGGGTGGTCTAATCCCTCCTGGCCTAACTAGTACAGACAGCCTTTAAAGTAGAAATATGTTCATAACAACGCTGAAAAACATTTGTGTGTATCCCACCGCTGCCACCATTTGAAAACGTCACTAATTGTTGGGTCTAGATCTCTATTGCCACTGTTATACAGTTTCCCAATTATTCCATTTTTTTCTTCATAGGAAGGAAAGTGGTATTTGTTCCAGAGACAGAAAAAATGTCCTTCCTTGAAAAATTTATATCCCTTGTTATTATTTTCTGCGCAAAATATTGATTCAATAAATTGTACCTTTCCCAACATCAACGGTTGATAGACAGTGCTACAGACCGACGATCTCTACTAACATGGAAGTGCAAAACTTAAAGCCCCACCGCACTACATATCTCTACTTCCGCCCTCTATATAGCAAACAATGCCTAATCGGTGACCATTGTTCCCCCATGGTCCTCTTTTTCTAATGTTAATTAAGAGCTGATTTGATGAGATAACCACCGGTTAGTGACCATGCAGGGAAGGTATAATCCCTCCAAACTAGTGCAGTGGGGCTTTAAAAGAGAGAGGGGGGAATGAAAATCAGTCATACCTCATCCAGGAGAGCCTTGAGATATAGAGGGTTAGAGCTCTGTTTGGCATTGATGATGAGATCGGTTTGCTCTTTGTTGAGGGTCTTGCCATAGAGATCCATGTAGCCGGTGATGATATCCAGCTTCTCATTCTCCTGAAGACCTTGGATCTTGTACATGGGCCATCCTGACAACTCTATCACATCCTGTGTCTGGATCAAAGGAAATGAAAAACAAACGCACCATTCAAAATGGTACTTGGATATACAGGGATTGGCAGAGCTTGAAAGATTCAATAAAATCATATGCTCATAAATAAATATAGTGTATGATAAAGCATTTTATAGATAACTCTTTGAAATTATTTCTTAGTGCATACTTTATCTTGCAGATAGGATTTAGCATCACTAAGTTTTGTATAGCTTAGAAGACATTTCCAAGTGATGTGAAAATAATATTTTGTTCCATTATTTCCTCAGAAATGTTAATGTTTTCAATCAAGTGTATGTTCAAATGTGACAATTATTTTAAAAAAAGAGACAAACATACCTCCCCAGGAAGCGTGGAGAGAAGCATTTGCACATTGTTAGGCAATGTTTGTGGCAACCATGTCAGGCTCTTCTCATCACCTAAATAAAACCGAAGGTTGATAAAAACAGATAAATTGAATTAAAAGAGCAAATAACATATGAAATTGTTTTTCTTTCTCTTATAAATACAAAGAATTAGTTTCATCATTGTTGAGTACCCTTACATCTCTTTATCACAGCGGATTCATATCTTCATTTCATTAACATTAGATAAACTACAAATGTTTCCTCTACTTCATGAGATCAAAGGCCTAATGTGAGAACATACCACTTCCTCCTGCTCCACTGTCCAACTGATTCAAGGCATCCAGAACAATCATGACCTTTGACCTGTTGCTTGCAATATTGAGCCATGATGGGAGGTCAATGATCAGGTTCCTGTCAGAGGTCGGTATTTCCATTTCAAGGTTGTAGAACTGCTTCATCTCACCGTACAGTCTACACATAATAGCCAAGTATAAAATGTCATGGTTTCATCAACATTGATTTGAACAAATTAAGTGCATTGACAGTAATGACTCTATTGTGATATTAGGTTGTAAGTGTGATAATTCTTTTCTTCTGAAATGAACTTTAATCTCACATGATGGTCCTAATATATCTAATGGTTCTTATACTGCCAACTTCTCATCATCGAAATCATCATTATCACTCAGCTTATGTTTTTTTTATATCCTTTCATAATTTTCAATACAGACCAGACAGGCGTTGGTGTGACACTAACTTATACCTGCCAACATTAGAAAATGAAAAATTAGGAATTTCTAGCACGGTATGCCTTCGAAAATAAGAATTAAGAATTTCTAGCACGGTATGCCTTCGAAAATAAGAACAGGCGTTCGCACATGCAGCGGCAGTGTAACTGGTAATACACGTTAAATCTGTACAAATAAAAAAGTGAATACAAATTCGCTGCACAATCATTAGTACATAATAAACCAAGCTTAAACAACAACAACAACAAATTTAAGAATAAATATTTTTTTTTTTTTTTTTAATTAGAATTTTTGACAATCTGAATTTTCCGCATTTTTAGGTCCTAAAAATCCAGAATATCTGAATATTCTGGATTATTCGGAAGGGTTGGCAGGTATGCTAGTGCGATCAATTGAATAATTGGGAAATTTAACAAGGGTGGCAAAATAGATCTAAACCCAACAATCAGTGACATCTTCAAATGATGGCAGTGGTGGTATACACGTACACATTACGAACTCCACCTGAACATGTCATCCTGCTATCATAATATATTCTGGTACCATGAAATACCTTCTCAACAGATTCACATGAGATGCACTTTCTGCTGAGCTGCCAATGAAATGTTTGAAGAGGAAGGTTCCAGGGTTTCGCTCTTCAAAACGGCCGCACCAATTGGCAACAAGGGCAGATTTACCAGATCCAGATTCACCGATGATCGTAAGAGGTCCCTTGGTATTGCGAAAGAATGAACTGACACGTTAAACTAGGATGGCTCGCACCAAAATAATACTATAGCACATAAATGTATCTACAACAAAAATTATTCAGAAGTATGGTACTGCGTAATAAGAGGAAACAAAACAAATTTCATCAAGGATAAGACTTAAACATCTCAAATTATATTATTCTTTGAAATGTTTTCTTAGAAAAAAACATAAATAACCAATAAATATATAAACTACACCACCACTGAAATAAATCACCAAATGAGCATCATAATTTTCATATTTATCACATTTTTCAAACAAATTACCAAAAATAACATCATAAATTTCAGGGATTTCAATTTTGTGTCTAATTTTTGGATTGGATATGAAATGCACTTTATGGGAGCAACCTTTCAAACACAAACCGATTTTTTTTTTTTTTTGGGGGGGGGGGTGAGAGATCTACCTATGCTCCATTAAAGTAAAAATTTGCCTCCTGTGTGAAAAAGTGGAGTGAATGGTTTTCCACTGAACTAAAATAAATGTTACATTAGGAAAAGGAAACAGCAAACCCCCGTGCAATCTAAATGCAATCTTTGAACTATGCAATGACTACAGTTTTGGAAAATCTTTGTTGGTTCCTAAGTAACTACTCACTGTTATTATCCTTGTTTAGTTTACTTCATATGACCCCTTACCTCTGGTTTCTGAGCAAAGTAGTTGTCGATGTAATCAAAGTACTCCTGTCGTCCGATGTAGACGCGTCGTCTAGCGTTGGCGAAGGCATCATGTGCTTCTGACTCTCTCTGTAGAGCTGTAAGGTTGGTGCCAGGTGGGAAATCCTCATTGATGCACTTGATCAAATCCTAGGTTACGGAGTCAGTTTGGTAGTCAATTAAGCTCTTGATTGTGGGTGTTTTTATTGTCATATCAATTGCTGATTTATGCCTGCTTCTTTAGGGTTAATAATATATCATAGTTAAGACTAAACAATACTACACTGCAAAGATATGTGCGCACATATTCTTTTTGTTTAATAAATGTAGAAATGCTCCAAGGGAGCTAGAGATGATTTACACTTCTGTATAGGCTTCAACTCTTAATTACCATGCCAGTGAACAAAATTAAAAGGCACTATAAATCTCCTATATGCCAACCTCTTTGATCATTGATGCAGCATCAACAGCACTGACATAGGTCCTTTTAGTGTGTCCGGACTCTGCAACAGAATTCCTCAGCTTGGTTTGCAGATCAAAGTGCCACTGTGTTTCTCCTTTCACATTCTTTCTATCTTCCTACAAGTCGGAGATAAGTTCACATCGGAATATAACATACATTCAAATTTTATGCATCCGAGTTCATTGAAAACTTTTGGGAATCTTTGCTTGCAGAAATATATTTCTTTAACTTTTCTTCTCTATCTTTTGTAAATCTATCTTTATTTATGATTAATTGACAGCTTCCAATTTTATTTTGCTCACATTTCAAACAAATTTGGATCGGTGTTGCAAAAATGTACATTTATACAGACTATCTATTAAAAAAAGGCCAATCGATAGGGTCAGGACATAAATAATTAAAGAAAAAACGTTTGTTAGGTGAGAAGCAGAGAAGATGGAAGCAGGGAGGCAATGGCAAGGCTACATTACATCTTGATGTCTGTATATCTGTATTGACTGATCCGGATAAGAAGAAAGAAAATATTTTAGAGAGTGTCCAAACATCCACCATTCCCTAACCTGCCCCCTAGTTTACCCTGAAAGCTGGTTCATGAGGACTATTACAAATCTTGCTCATAGATGGAACGGCCCTTACCTCAGTCTCCACAGGGGGCGGAAGGTCTTCTCTTTTCACCATCGGCTTACGAAGGTAGAAGAAGATGCGTTCCTTCTTGATCTCTTTGTGTTTTCTCATCGCCCCGTACATCACCTCGAGCTGACATTGGGAGAGATTTAACTCACATAATGACATAATAATAATATACCGTACTTATATAGCGCATATCACAATGTGTCTCCATGCGCTGTAAGAAAGAGTAAGAGGGAAAGGTGGATAGAGTAACATAAGAAGAGTGACGTATGCTCAACTTACTTCCTCTCATTAGCATTGGAAAATATTCTTGAAAAGAAATGTTTCAAGAAGCATCTTAATGTTGTCAACAGTACCACAGATTTTTAGATTTTTCGGTAGTTTATTCCAAAGTTCGGCCCATGCAACCTGAAAAGAGTGAGGCCCGTAGAATTTAGTATTTATTTGTGGAATGGTGAGGAGAGACTTTTGGGAGGATCTGAGGGTTCTGTTTAGAACATATTGGGTAAGTAATTCCATCGAATAAGTAGGAGCCAAACCTTTGAATGCAACTAGCCTCATGCATGTATATGATGACATAACTTACAACCTAAAATAGACATACCAGAGTCTATTTCAGTAGGGACAAATAATTGGGGAAAATGTCTCCTCTGATGAATATTGAAATGTGCCGTTACTGTCCATTTACAAAGCAAGTATACACAGTATATTTCACAAAAACATATGTCTAAAATAAAATTCCATTATTTTCTTTATATATAGTGAGATGTAGAGTATAAAGTTTTTTTACCTGTGTGACACTAGAGTTGAAACGGTAATCATCAACCCACTTGAACTGACGGTAGGCATCAACTACAGTGTCATAGCTCTTGTCTAGAAGCTCATCTTTGAACTTACTGGACTGGCTCCAGCCAAAGCGATCCCCCATCATGCAGATGAAGTATGGACGACACTTGTCAATCTGTAGGGGTCATTGCAAGTCACAGAGACATTATCAATAGTAATCCCAGGGGGGTGTTTAACAAAGATCCTAAGTTGAACTTATCTCTAATTTGGACTTAAAAATTATGGAAAGCCATTAGCATTCTTGAAAATATTTTGCAAAAGTTATTTTAAAAGGCATAAAATGTTGATTCAAATCATTTATATTTTTTATTACCATGAGAGATTTCATGTTCTTGATGTGGAATTTATGAAAAGTCTAAAATACTTGAATTTTTGTGTTGAATATATTTCATTATAAGGCTACAATTGGCTCTCCATCATATTTAAGTCCAACTTAGAGTTAAGTGCAACTTAGGATCTTTGTGAAACACCCCCAGGATAGATAGAAAATAGTGAAAAGTACACTCTGCACCCTCGATCCTTCTCACTAGGAATAGATTCTTTCACAATCACCACCACACATCATCATTAGCATCATCATCACCACCATCACCATCATCACCACCATCACCATCATCAGCCCCACTATCAACACCATCATCACCACCACCATCACCAACATCAACACCATCAACATCACCATGATCAACACCATCATCACCATGATCAACACCATCATCATTACTATCACCATCATCATTACCACCATCATTACCACCATCATTACCACTATCATCAACACCATCAACACCATCATCATCATCACCATCATCACCATCATCACCATCATCATTACCATCATCACTATCATCATCATCACCATCATCATTACCATCATCACTATCATCATCATCACCATCATCATCACCAACATCATCATCATCAACATCATCATAGTAACAATTCCTACCATCACGTCTGTTTTTCAAGAGTGCAATAAAATGAACAAAAGAGGATACAATAAATACAATAAATACCATAGGATAATGAAGATATAAGTGAGGGAACATTATATGCATATAAATCAAATTCTTTATTTGTTTGATAGAAACTTTTTGAAAAGTTACCTCTCGTAGACATATCTCAATGGTCCTCCCTCCCTTAGATTGCTGCTCTGTGATCCCCCATCGAAGGTCAACGTAGGTGAAGAAGACCCCCCGATCCAGACAAAGTCGATTCAGCTCACGGAACACCTTCTTGATGATCAACTCTCTCTCCTCCTCAAAGTCTCGGAACGTACTGGAAACGAAGACTCGGATCTCACGCTTCACTGTTTTCTTCTTCACAATGATCATAGGTTGGATGACCTCTTCTGGTTTGACCTGTTTATCCTTGGCAGCTTCATCTTGGAGGTGAAAAATGCAATCAAAGAGGGTCTTGAAATATAGGGTAGATCAGGGTTTATCAGGGTAATGCTACAGACAACAGATAACACTGACAGTTTCCTGGGTTTTGTTTCGAACTAAAACAGTCACTTGCTTTGCGAAAATTTTGCAATAATAATAGTGGTGGCTTCTTATATAGTGCACATATCTGTCACGTTGTGAAGCTCCTGGCACTGCCTTGATTATTTACCTTGGCTTTAGCAAGGCGGCCAACATGGCGCTCTGGCATTTCAAGGAATAAATTCCTGCCCGGTACCCATTTATCACACCTGGGTTGTGTGTGGCAAATGTAGATCAATGTCTTGCCAAAGGACATTAGTGCCATGGGAGATTTTCAGGGGCAAAGTTGAGCAACAAATACCCCGTTTGTAAACTAAGAAGCACAAAAAGGGGTTAAGATTCTTTAAAGCATGAACATATTTTAATCTTTGATGCTTACCACCTGGTTTATCAGCTTCTGATGAGGTGAGCATGAACTTCAGGGAATCTCGGTGCTCCTCTTGCAGGTGGCGTAAGAAAGAAGTGACACCTTGCTTCCTCTCCTCGGCCGTACTCGTCTCGACATCTGAATATTCATCTCCGCTTGCCGGGCTGATTTCACTCTTGACGCGCAACACACCAGCGGATATCCAGGCCCCGAAAGCTCCTGCCCAGCTCTTGTCGTCCTCACCTAAAACCATCAAAGAGTACCAGAGACAAAAATGATTTTAATTATTCTCCGTCATGAAGCTCTGATTCATCGCTATTGTTACATGTATCTTTTCTTCAAATAAAGTCATTCATATGATGAGGTTTATGTTATTATTTATTTTCTTTGCACTCCTTGACTGTTAACTCAGAAAATGTCAGGTAAACATTTTGCTACACAATTTATAGCAAACATGGTTCAGGAGTCCCTTGTTATGTTCAAGAAAGAGTTGAATAAGGAAGAAGATGAAGGAAAAGAGACACATTCCCTGATATCTATAGCTCCATCCCAACTATATGTTTGAACTATAAATGGATATGTTTTTCTCTGTGAAACAGGAAGATATACCCCCATAGGGAAGTTATTCCAATAATTTTACAATGAAATGAGGCATTAAAAGTGAAAATCCAACTCTTAGTAATCAATTAATGATCAACTGTTCAAGTATGTGGTCATCACAAAAGGGGATAAAAACATATTATTCAACTCTACACAGATTACAAACGGGAATCATGTTGCATAAATGCAGTAAAAGAAAGATCAATACAAACATCTCACCGTGGCTTTCGAAGCAAACAGTTCTAACTCCTGGTCCATAGCCCTTGAAAGTAAAGCTCTCCCTGATCCACCCTGAAGTAGTGATGCTACCTTTACGTCCAGTCGTCTGTTTGACAATCACATTGTCACTTGCATCTAGGAGGGAGACCGTGAAGCTGTAGAAGCCTCCTTTGCAACCTCCCTCATGGAAAGATTCAGATGCCTGTTCGGAGAAAAAGAAAAAGAAAAAATATCAAAATCAATAATAATAGTCTGTTCTTGTATGGCCCATAATAGTCTCTACGCGCTTCCAAAGAGCTTTGGAAATTGTTATTCTAGCTTTAGCTCCGGCTACCGATATTGGCACGCAGTGCATTTTAAGGAATACGCAGAAATTTTCTCTCTGAGTGCAACCCACACTAAGATTAGCATTGTAATGCAAATTAGATCGCAACGGTAGCCTGTACGAAGAGGGTCACAGCTCATTTAAATACTCTGTAGTCAGCACTTGCGTCGCCTTGCGAAAACTCCAAAATGATAATAATGACAACAGCATGGCAATGATAATCATGATGATAGAGATGGTTATGTTGTTGATACCTGAATTTCAGGTGCCGAGTCCAAATGCGCATCTGTAAAATGCTGAGTCAGATTGACATCTTGAGATTTGTTGCATTCCATATATGATGTCATAAACTCTGCAATCAAGAAATAAAGAAAGGGTATTTCAGTCTCCCCGTTGGTGGTCGGGTGTTTTTAGTGGTTGTCAGATAGTGTAGATGAGACCTGACTTATGGTCGCTCGTTTGTATATGGGTAGGGTTGGGGTCGGTGGGGATCCTCTGTTTCACCTTATTTTTGTCTCGGGATCTTCGTTCTTGAAAAATATTATTTTGTAACGTTTTCAATTTTCTGTCTATTTTGGTTTTATTTTGTATTTAATTATTTTATTGTTATTGCTTTATTCTAGTCAGTGAATTTGTTTCTTATTATGTAAATTATTTGTAAATATTGTGATTTCTTTTGATTTTCCAATAAAAACACAGATTTAAAAGGTAAAAAAGAAGAAAAGAGTATCACGCCCTTAGTGCAGTAAACAATGTATGTTCTTAAACCAATAACCTTACAAAATTAGGTTCTAAATGAATCAAGGCCTCTGAATATGGAACAAACATGTATGGCAATATTGTATTTTTGTTTTTAAACAAAGTGTCAAGTATAAGTTTCCATAATGATTCTCTTAAACCTTGCCCCCCCCCCACCCCCTTCGGGAAAGTTCTTATACACAAGTTTGTTGTTGAATATCATGTGGTACAAATTACCCCTAGAATCTGCAGATCATCTCAACATGCAGAGGAGTCACTGTGTGAAGTGTAGAAAAGTCACTCCCATAGTGATTAAAATGAATAACTTTGCTTTACCCTCCTAAAAGCATACATACTTCCACCTGTGTATTATGAAAAGCACTTTATGGTGAATTTCAAATTGACTAATTACATCACTTTTTATGAGCACCTAACAAGTATTAATTGCTGTGGGTTTTACAAAGTTTGTTCAAATTACCTTTGTCTGCTCATGTGCAGATTGCATCCACAAAGTGGTTTAATTGAAAAAGGTATCTCCTACGATTTACCAAGTAAAAATAGAAGTGTATTATAGCATTGTGAACAAAATATTACATACAAATACCATTTCATTTCCTGTTTCTGATGTTTTTTAAACCTCTAGTATGGTCTCAGTAAACTGGAATAGGATGGTATTGGATAAAATAGGTTTGACTCGCCCCATAACTTACTTTTCTCTGTGCCATCACCATTGTCATCAACCTTGAAGTCTCCACTAATATTCCAGTGACTCATATCCCCATTCTAAATGAAGAATTAATATATGATATAGATAAGTTCAAATAAAGATAAATAAACTAGGAGTTACTATCCCAAGAACATCTAGCAACTTATGACTACTATCCAAGAACATCTAGATCCTTAGGACAACTATCACAAGAACATCTACATCCTTAGAACAATTATCCCAAGAACATCTACATCCTTAGGACAACTATCCCAAGAACATCTACATCCTAAGGACAACTATCCCAATAACATTACATCCTAAGGACAACTATCCCAAGACAGGACAACTATCTCATGATCATCTACATCCTTAGGACAACTATCCCAATAACATTACATCCTAAGGACAACTATCCCAATAACATTACATCCTAAGGACAACTATCCCAAGAACATCTACATCCTAAGGACAACTATCCCAATAACATTACATCCTAAGGACAACTATCCCAAGACATTTACATCCTTAGGACAACTATCTCATGATCATCTACATCCTTAGGACAACTATCCCAATAACATTACATCCTAAGGACAACTATCCCAATAACATTACATCCTAAGGACAACTATCCCAAGAACATCTACATCTTTAGGACAACTATCCCAAGAACATCTACATCCTAAGGACAACTATCCCAATAACATTACATCCTAAGGACAACTATCCCAAGAACATCTACATCCTAAGGACAACTATCCCAAGAACATCTACATCCTAAGGACAACTATCCCAATAACATTTACATCCTTAGGACAACTATCCCAAGAACATCTACATCCTAAGGACAACTATCCCAATAACATTACATCCTAAGGACAACTATCCCAAGACATTTACATCCTTAGGACAACTATCTCATGATCATCTACATCCTTAGGAATATCCTAAGAAGAAAAACAAATAGTAAACAGGTCTGCATGTGCTTGATTAGTTAGTTGTCTGAGGGTAAACTTGGGGTGTTTTACAAAGATCCTAAGTTGAACTTTTCTCTAAGTTAGACTTAACAATAATGGAAAGCTGTTAGCATCTTTGAAAATATTTTGTAGAAGTTATTTTAAAAGGCATAAAATGTTGAATCAAATCATTCATATTATTAGTTATCAAGGAGATTTCATGTTCTCGATGTGGAATTCATGAAAAGTCTAAAATACTTGAATTTTTGAATATATTTTATTTTAAGGCAACAAATGGCTCTCCATAATGTTAAGTCCAACTTAAAGTCGATCTCAGTCTTTGTGAAACACTCCCCAGGGGTAATAAACAAGGATGACAATGTCAAAGAGGTATAGTATCGGGGGGGGGGGGGAGGTTGAATTGTCCTGTGGGGTTTTTGTCCAAATGGTAGAGAGGGCTCTCATCATTACCTTGGAAGACCCCTTAAACCTTTATTTTCTTCCAACTTCTTAACCTGTTGACTACTGAATTGTATAGGTCCCATAGGCTTTACACAGGGACAACCAGGTTCCCGTAGGCAGAGGGTTAACTGTTAAACTTGATACAAATCATATTTTAGGTGATTGGTACACTTTAACTCACCTCCCCCGATGCATTTTCAAGAAGGTTTTTAGACCAGCCGGCAATCTTCATCTCCTTCAGAGAGAATGTACGATTCAACGGCAGCAACTTATCAGCAAGCTGAATATATTGAGAGAGCATATAGGAAAAAACCATGTTTTAAAAAACATGTTAACAAGAACATTTACATTTACATTTACTCAAAGTTATTAATGATATTATGTTGTTAAAATTCTGGAGAGATATTTGTGAATTTTGTTTTGTATAGCGCCTTGAGTAAGTTATTAGATAAGTGCGCTTTGAAGGTATGTATTGCAATGACGACCTTCGTCATTGCCTTGTTTTCGTTCACATTATTAATATTCTTACTTCTTCTTCCTCTTCTTCTTGTCGTCCGGAATCCCATTCATTTTGCACGTAGTGCTTGTTATTCCTATCCAGGTCCTTTTCTCTTGCTCGATTCCTTACAAACTTCGTAGGCGTAATCTCTGATATCCAATCTAGGTCACCTACTTTTTCGTTTTCTGAAATCACTCATGCATAAACGTCCAGGCGCCATTTTGTCCGTTTCTGGTCCATTTTAAGGCCTTTCTTTCTTCCTTCCCATCTCCACTATCCTAGATCCTACAAACTTCTAACAAATTCCTCTAGTTAGTCTGAGAGATGTTCTTTCATCTGCGACACATAACTTGACCTTCAAAATGCCATCTTCGTACTCAAAATTCAAATCTGAAACTGTCTCCGTCAAAAATCTGTCAAATTCTTGAAAAATGGACCCCTAAAAATCTAAAACTGCCATAACTTTCTCATATTAATTCCGTTTTGTGTTTAAATTTTACATTATCCTTATCTTATAATTGCTAATAGCCATGCCAAATTTCATGCTCCAATGACTATGCAAAACATAAATAGCGCCCTCTAAAGTTCTGGGAATTGGCTTTCTTTCTGTGGCCGTATCTCCATAATGGTTTTGCAAACCCGTACCCTTTTTTGGATTTAGATAGTTGAAGATATGCCCTTTCCAGCCATATACAAAATTATATACCCTAACACTGACCAAATTTGAGAAAAATGCCCTCCAAATTCGCCATTTTCAAGAAAATTCCAAAATAACTTCAACTGGCTCTAAATTGGCGATCTTTATACCTACATCAATGAAACTTGGCAGACATATGTATCCATATACGTGACAACTGTCTGCCAAGTTTAGTAAAATTCGAATATGTCAGCGCAAAGTTATCGCCAAAAATGATGAATTTACTATGCATTACGTAATAGCGCGTTTAATGCGTACAATACATTGCGCGCAGATAATAATGGTGTCGAACTGACCGCAATGAACTGCCCTTTCGAATGATACCAAGTATAGTATATGTTCACACAGAAAATTGTGAGTAAATCGCATTTGAACAAAGGTCACTACACGAATTCCGCCGAGTTTCCGCCCGAATCTAAAACGTATTGGCTATGACGTAATTTTTAAGACTGCTTTTCACCCCTTAAACGTCCTTGTTTTTCCTTGAAAATTTGCAGTGACATGCCAAGTTCCAATACGCAGGGCACCTCCTGGCCGGATTTTTGAAATTGGTCAAGGGGGCCATTTTAGACGCCATTTTGTCTTAGAAATCTATTTTACATCACGTGTTTCGATAGGATTATCATAGAAAAAAAAAAGTGGTTTTCAATAACAACCATGAAATTCTCTTTCTAATGATACCAAATACGGCCCATAAGGAGACATAAAGAGAGAGAGAAAAAAAAACAATTTAACTCCGGTCATAATACAGATCCTGTACGTTTTCCGCTCATGCATTACACGCATTGTCTATGGGGCATATCGGGTTCACGCTTTTGACCCCCAGAACGATCTGTATTGCAATGACGAACATGCACCAAATCCCCTTGGTTTTTGCACGCAGTGCTTGCGAGCCCTTTCTACGTCCTTTCCCCTATTCCAATTTCTTTCAAACTTCGTAGGCATAGTCACTACCATCCCATCAAGGTCACTGTTGAGGCCTTTCTTTCGCCCTACCTATCTCCAATATCACAGAAGCTACAGACTTCGTACAAATTGCTCTGGATAGGGCGAGAGAAGCTCTTTCGTTTGACAGGTAGAAACATGGCGTCATTGCACGCACATCGTTGTGACACGATTGCATTTCTAGTTATTATTATTATTATGATGATGATATAAAACAAGTCTCCAGGCAAAAATGATTTGCAAGTTAATATTAAGTTAGATGTAAGCTTATGGTTTAAGATGTAAGAGGCTATAGTCCAGAATTAGTTCAGAATGTGGATTTCAGTTAAAGCTACGGTCACAAAGGTTCGTAGGATGCGTTCGTACAAATCTCCGTTTTTCTATTGTCTTTCCGAATTTCCATTGTCTGAAAATCGTTCGTACGGCGTTCTTAGCAGTTCGTAATGGCATTTGTGACCGAGGCTTTAGATATAGATTACCAGCTGTAGTATAGACCATTTTCTGATGTAATATGGTTATTTATATAGCGCCGGTATCCGTCAGGTTCTGACGCTCATGGCGCTTTACACATATTACCCTGGTCGTAGCAGAGCTGCCAAAGTAACTAGCGCTCAAGCATATCAGGTACCCATTTACACCTGGGTGGAGAGTGGCAAATGTAGATCAATGTCTTGCCAAAGGACATCAGTGCTGCGGCGGGACTTGAACCCCGTACCTTGTGATCTGCAGTCGGGTGACTTATCCACTAGTCCACAACACCTCTACAAATTTAATGCTCAAATCTTTGTTAAGTACCATGTTACAAATTATTTTATTTACCTGTTATGAATAGTTGTATTTCAATAGTAAGAAAGCAAATTGCATACATTAGTCGCTGCTAGGTCGGGCAAACTTTATGGCTCATCCTACCTAACAGCACGTAATGTACCCAATTTGCATTCTGACTTTTGAAATACATATATTTATATAAACAGGTGAATGAAGTAATTTGTAATGAGGCACATACTATATATTTTTGTATTAATTTGTATTACATTACAAAAATGACCTTTGACATGCACACGTCTTCATTCAGTGCCTAAACAAGTAACATTCACCTGTTACGAAATACAATAGTTGGAATACAAATTGAATACATTGCAAGTTGTAAGGTAGGGCAAGCCATGATGTTTGCTCAGCCTCGAAACAACTGATATATGAAATTTAAATCCTGATTATTTAGATACAATAATATCTAACAGGTGAATGTCATAGGTAAATGCGTATTAATTTGAATACCTTTTGAAAATGGTTTATTATTGCTAGAGCATACAATTAACAACTAGATTATTCATACCCTTACCAAGTTTTGTAAGTTTTTAATTACGAGAAAAATTGATTTGTCCTGATTTATATTTCTTGATAATATGACATTTTAAGTTCATAAAGTATTCAACAACGGCCTTCAACCAGAACACCTTTCATTCTTGAGTTACCTTTACGAAAAACACAAAAACATTGAATTTACAAATGGTATGAATAAGTCAGTTGTTAACCATATGTCACAATCAATTCATAATTTTGCTTATTTAGTTTTTTGAAGAAAGACAATTTTTCTTTAATAGTCAAAATAACCAAAAACAAAAATGGAAATTCTAGGCAAGGCAAGAATCACTGACAGTGTTAGTATACCTCTTGCTTGATCTTGGTTTCCTTCTGCCTCTCTTCAGGAGTAAGAGTTGGCTCCTTAAAATCCTTGTCATAAACCAGGATTCCAGACAAGCAGACATCGTCTCCATCTAATGAGCATTAGAATTAAATGAAATATTATGTCTTATTTATAATAATAATAATGTATTCATTAGTGCAATTTCCATATGCATGTTCAAATGCGCTTTACAATTATATATTGTTTACAGAAGAGGTGAGTTTTGAGATATTTGTTGAAGGTATAAGACAGATTGTTGGTAAAGAAGAGAAATGTGTAGGTTATTCCACAGTTTGGAAGAAGCAGTTGTGAAGGCTCTATCACCAAGTGTGCATGGGTATATGACATTCTGGGAGATGGGTGGTTCAGCGTGATGCCTCAAGAGGAGCGAAGGGGGTAGCGGGATGGTTGCCTGATAGTTGTGAAAGATAAGTTATTTCTATTTATAGAAAGAAAGAGAAGAGAGGCTAGGGTGTAACAATTTTTTTAAAGAAGTAATCAATATCTGGTAGACTGTAGTATTGACAAAAAAATATAAAAAATATACATAATCCTCAAGCTTTTCAATAGAAATTACAATGTGCAATATTTGACTAGGAATCCGTAAATTTGTAAACAATGTGTAGTTGTCAATGGTGTGAGTCTTATTTGAATGCTGTAGGATGTGGAGTACCCCAGGGATCCATTCTTGGTCCATTTTTATTTCTCATTTATATGAAGGATATTTGTGCAACATCTCAAAAGGTGGAATATATTTTATATGCCAATGATACCGGGGTATGAATAAATCTCATAATCTCATTTTCTTTCATCCCCTTTTTTCTCTACCATTGTCCCTCTCTCTCTCTCTCTCTCTCTCTCTCTCTCTCTCTCCTTTCCTCTAAACATCTATGCTAATTTAAACTCACTTGTGCGGAAAGAGAGTGTGGTGTTTTCCTTCTCTACTTTGATCGGTACTTCACATGTCTTTGCCGTGGTTCCTACAGCGTGTATGTGGTCTTCACTTGTCAACTGATCAAGAATCTGCAAGAACATGGAGAGAAACGAGATGAAAAGGCATGAATAGCAAATATCAACCTCACCACTTTCACAATATGCCCCTGCAATTAACAAAATGAACATCTACCACTACTACTACTACTACTACTACTACTACTACTACTACTACTACTACTACTACTATTACTACTACTACTACTACAACTACTACTACTACTACTACTACTACTACTACTACTACTACTACTACTACTACTACTAATATTGCTACTGCTGCATGCTACTATATACTGGGGAGGTTATTTATGTATTTATTTTTTTCTTCTTCAAATTTTTGTCTCCATATATACAAGTGTCCCAAACTGCTCCGTATCATCTCGTTTCCATTTCATCATCTCCACCCAGCTCATGGCTCTTTTGTTCAATCTCATTATCTTTCATAACATTCTCACTGCCTTGACATGTTTATTCTAAGGCACTCCTATTGGTTCACATTTATTACTTTGGTTGTATTCATTTTTCTATGAATACTACCACTTCCACTAATGATATTGTTACCATTTTTATACCACTATGAGCTTTAAAAAACATATTTGAACTTTTTCCATTTATTATTTATTTTTTACTTATAAGTTTCACTTTAAACCAACAAGTATGATGGGAATAGACAGGGTGCTCTCCCCCCCCCCCCAAATTTAATTTGTTTCACCCTGTATGGGTTTGTTTTTAAACCGACCTGTGAAGTAAGCTCCGTGCTATCGTAATGGATGTACCCCTTGGTCATCCATCCACCCACAGTGTACAGACGCATCGTGTAGTCTCCTCCCGACAATGGCAACTATGAGGGGGGAAAAAAGAAAAAAAGATCATTGAAACGCAACCATTTTTGAAGCATTCAGTATACTTTTAACCATCAGTTCAAATAACTTAATTCATGAACAACATATAGGCACATGTTGTTATGACAGATCAAGTTTACAATAATATTACTTGACTGCATTTAGTAACTTTCTTACATACTTTTAAATATTTTCATCTCAAGTCGAAAATCCCATTTCATATCTCAATTTTATATAACTCATCATGTGAAAGGGTATCAATAAAGCAACAAAATATATCTCTCCTCTTTGGCATTTCTTTTTTTAGCTGCCCATATGATTTTGGACAGAATTTGCATATCGTGTTGAACCCCTACAGAATCATCAAAATTACATAAATGCTTGACATATCATATACTTTTATACCGTAGTATCTCTTTATTGTTTATTTTATTTTTTATTTTAGTGCAAATAACCTCTTTTTACAATATCTGACTTCATGTTCATGAAAACATTTTAATTATTTAATTTTTTAAAAGAAACCATGCTTTTTTTTTGTCCAAACATCAATAGACACAATATCAATTGTTGGGCTGCCTAGCTACTACACTGAAAAGTTTAGCAAAATGAACTCTAGGCGACTTAATCATTTATTCAACTTTAACTCTAACCTTTCCCCAAATCGACTTATAACTGAGGTTAGCAAACTAAAAGTACTTCAGCCTAATACTCTGCATGATTGCCAATTAATTATGGTAAATGTTTTTGTGCAACTCATACAGTAAGTGTTTTGTACAACTCTTATTGAGTTCTCTCATACTCACAGGAAACTTGATTTTATCATTAAAGCCATCGTGCGTACAGTTGTATGAGCTGAAGAGAAAGGAGTCATACGTGCTCGAAAGGAGGGAATGGAGGTTGCGGTCTTGAGCCGTGTGGGCGCTGAACTTGTGCATGCAATCCAGTCCTAAACAAATGAAAGCAACAGAAGAAACACATCCTAATTCTACAATTTAATACCTTCATCTATCTTACACATATATGTAACATTATAATAAAATTTACCAAAAATACATTTACGATGTCCCTACCTACCCTGTGTGTCTGGTGACAGATGTCCTAAAAGGTTGAGTTGTATAATAAACCAGATGGCAGTAACTTGACAAAAAAAGTCTTTCTTCAATAATAGAAAGAAATAACTGTGCATAAATTAAGTGCTTGAATCATTTGTTTTGCACACTGAATCAATAAGATATACTATTACCACCACCACTAAACAGAAAATAAAACAGCAAGCGTAAGAAATAGAGAGAAGTCGGAATTTACATGTTCCATGCATGGAGTCCAAATGTAATGTAAGCCTGCCAGCACACTAGGGTATGGCTAGAGCTATCAACGCAACGCTAGAGAGTAGGCTTACAGGTGTCCTGAACACATTAACATGACTGAAGTGCATACATACATCTCATTATATACAGTATGTTCTGAAAATAACATTCAAATGCGCTCTTTTGTATCATATGCCTTTTGTGCGATTATTCTTCTTTCAATTAAAAAAGCTCTTTACAAATGACTTTTTTGCTTCATTTTATGCATGTTTATCTCCACAATTAACCTCTGGTTACCAAATATTTGCATAATGACATCTAAATAAGTGGAATCCACTTTACTTTGCACATGTTTGATGTTCTATGCCTGGCAAGCCTTTAGCAAGCTCTTATTTCATCACAGACTTCTGTTGTTCAAAATGTTTGCAAAATATTATTATTTTAACATTCTTTGCTTGTCATATGACAGCCATTTTATGCTTATAACAATAATGCTCAAACCTTTTCTAGTCTATTTCAATTTTTAATCAATTATCATCATGACCAATTCCCTGAAAGATTTTTCTGAATTAGACCCCGTTCGAAAAGAGCTGCCCCTTAATACAAATTGTTTGTTCAAATCAGTTGAATTTACTTACCGCCCGTTTCAATGGGCTTGAACTGTGTCTGTGTGTCCACAAAGACGGCGCCATTGAGAGCGTGGTAGGCCGGACCACCACAGTTGAGAGCATAGGCTACCCCAGGAGGTTGCTTGATCACCTGATGAGGGGAACCCCCCAGTTCAATAGATACATCAGCTCCATCTGAGAGAAAGGGAGAGACGTATTAAAATACAAATTGAGAGGAATCCCCCTAGTTCAATAGATACATCAGCTCCATCTGAGAGAAAGGAAAAGACATATTGAAATACAAATTGAGGGGAATCCCCCGAGTTCAATAGATACATCAGCTCCATCTGAGAGAAAGGGAGAGACGTATTGAAATACAAATTGAGGGGAATCCCCCGAGTTCAATAGATACATCAGCTCCATCTGAGAGAAAGGGACAGACACATAATATATAAATTGAGAGGAATATCCCTAGTTCAAAAGATACATCAGCTCCATCTCAGAGAAAATGAAAGAACAAAGGGATGGCAAACCCTAACATTTCTGAGAGGCATACAAAGAAATTTAGCTCATTTTTTCAGTGCCATTATACCAACAAAAATTTATGTGACATTCAAAAACGTTATCACATTTTACAGGTACCTTTAAAAAGGGTAAAACACGAACACACACAGTTAAGAGGATATTGCTTTCTTCAGATACATTGCGAAACCCACTATGATTTGAAAAAGGGAGGGGGGCACCACCTAGTTGTGCCCTCTAAATTTGCAAGTGCTTTATCTAAAGATTCTAATACTTGAAAACTGAAAACAAATTTACTTACTTAAATCTTTCCGTAAGGCAAATGCTCGATAAACCTTTAGTCCTGGGCTCTTCTCCTTCTCAGTCAACCCCCTCTGGAAAGCCAATCTACCGTCAGGCTGTTCCATCCACTTTCCTCCCTCTACCTTTTGGACGGTGACCCCATCACAGGTCACTAAGACCTTGGTCATGTAGTCCACCCAGATGGTCAAGTTATCATCATCTATGATCAGACCTCCCTCTACGGTTTCTGAATCTCCCGTTGCAAGGCAGCCTTTTTGGAAACACCTGTGTCCATGGACAAATGTAAAACAAAACAAACAAGACTGTCAAATATTTTCATGGTGTTTAGTATAAATTACATTCTACTTTTATCACGTTTGATGAACTTTAACGACACACACTATTGTAGAGGTGTGCTGCTGGGGGAGGGGGGCTGGGGCATCCCCAATACTTTTCCCCCCAAGGATGCTGGGAAAAAACATCACCGGTATGTTAAGAGGGCACAAGTGACCCATACCCCCTGGAAACAAAGTAGCATTTTAGCACTCAAGTCTAACAAAATATGTATGCCATACCTTTCTTTTGGATCATGAACATCTTCTGGTATGTTTGTGAAGAGAGCATAGCGACACGGTCCATTTGGTCCAACAATCTGAAGGGCTCTCTTATCGGTCATTGAGATGGTCCATGCGTCTGCTGCAGATTTCATGACCCCTGACAAACCAGCGATATATGTAACACCAGCTTGACCTTTCATGAGGGTCACCTGAATATATCAAAAGCAGGAACAAAAACAATTGAGAATGTACAGTATGGTAATCTCGATGTTGGACCTATATTAAGGCTTGTGCATTTACATAAAAGCATGTTATTTTTACTGTAACAGATATTTTGCAAACTTTTGATTTTCTAATTCTAGTAATCTTCTAAAAATATCTATGAAAACGATACTTCAATCTAGTCTGATGAATATTCGAAAGAAAAAAATTACAATTATTACAGTCTATGAATAAGATTATTTATTATTCTGGATAAACAAGAAGCACTATCAGAGAGCCATGTTAACTCAATTCCATTTTTCACTTTCAATATATCTAATCTACAATGTTTTCTTTCTGTTACCTGATAGAGAGCAGATGTGTTGAGTCTGTTGATCCTGAGAACTATGAGAACACATGACCAGCATGGAGCGTCCTACAAACTTAGCATGGAGCATCTACAAACTTAGGCAGAGTGGTTGGGTTGATCCCGCTGAACGCCTGGAGGTGGACGACCTTCCCTCTGGGTTTGTCCCGGTGAGCCTCTGCGAAGGTAGCGCTCTTGCTGTGGTAGATCACATAGTGACTGTTAGGTGGACCCACCCAATTCCAGCGCTGCTTCCAAGGGCTTGAGACTCTCCACAGATGGAGATGGAGTTCTTGCACACCAGCCACCGTCGCAATCGCTGTCATCGTCATACAAGTAATCACACCCATCTTCACTTTCATCATCATCATCATCATCATCATCATCACCCTCACTTCCATCGCTGTTTCCATCATCATCGCTCCCATTGTCGTTCCCGTCATCGCCACCCTCGACAGGTACCCCGGGAACCTTAAGAAGAAAACATATACAGTCTACATTTAGAACTGGTGATCAAAGAAGATTGAAGAAGATAGTTGTCAACCTTGGGACAACTCCTGGTAACTCACATTTAGAAGGCTCAACTATTTAACTTTTCATTTACTGCGGATCGAAAGCGTACAGTCGTGCATCATTTGGAGTTTAAGTTGCAGCATATAGGTGACTGAGGCAGTCGACCATGTGATATTTACTGTATAAAATAAAAGATAGGCACAACGCCACAATTTTGTCATTCTTTCAAAATAAATTCTAGCATCATTTTATTCCACTAGCTCTCCGATTTTTTTCTTCTTGTTACTATCATAAACATAAAATGTGCGAATTTCTTTAATAAAAAACACAATATCATTTACCTCTTGTGTTCGATATCTCTCTAATCACTTCCGAGCATTATTTCATTAGATCTCTTAATTGTTACATGTAAAGGCTATCATATATCATTATTCTTTATAATTATAATTGATAGATGATATTAAATATTCCATTCCTAAAAGCAAACCGAAAACGATTAAAGATTTTCTTACATTGTTTTCAGCTGTTTCTGTTGCTGTTTCCTTTGAGCTTTCCCCAGGCGAGCTCTCTGTCGGGGAGCTATCCTTTCCTGAGCTTTCCAAAGGCTTGGTTTCTTGAGGCACGTTCTCCTGAGGTAGTTCCGGAGGAGAGCTTTCTGGTAGTGAGCTCTCCTTTCCCGAGCCTTCCAAAGGCTTGGTTTTTTTGAGGCACGTTCTCCTGAGATAGTTCCGGAGGAAAACTTTCTGGTGGTGAGCTCTCCTTTCCTGAGCCTTCCAAAGGCTTGGTTTCTTGAGGTACGTTCTCCTGAGGTAGTCCCGGAGGAGAGCTTTCTGGTTGTGAGCTTTCCTTTTCTGAACTTTTGACAGGCTTGCTTTCTTGAGGCACGTTCTCCCGAGGTAGTTCCGGAGGAAAGCTTTCTTGAGGTGAGCTCTCCTTTCCCGAGCTTTTGACAGGCTTGCTTTCTTTAGGCACGTTCACCTGAGGTATTTCCAGAGGAGAGCTATCTGGATGTGAGCTTTCTGCTGCTGTATTGACCTGAAGCTTGTTTTCTGAAGGCGAGGTATCTACAGTTGGTGTGTCAGCATCAGGGCTTTCTTGCGACCTGTAGCTTTCTGGAGCTGGAGCCAACCCATCATTAGGTGAGCTCTCTACATGTGGGCTGTCTGTAGGTGGGTTTTCAGGAGCTGGGCTACTTGGAGCTTCCCTGTCCGGTGTCGGGCTATCGGGAACAGGGCTTTTCGGGATGGGCTTTTCAGGCTCTGGAATTTCTAGAGGTGAACATTCAAAAGACCAGCAGTCACTTCCATTAGGTAACAGAGGAGCCTGTAAATGAAAATATTAAAAAATTTGGAATGCTTGTCAAAAGATCAATCGAATTCATCTAAGAGGAATAAAAGAAAAAAGGAGACAAACATAAAGTCCAAAATATTTTCACTCGTCCAATGTACTATTTTTTTTCCAAATTTGCTTGCAAAGTTAGGGCACATGGGGGGGGGGGGGTAATGGAGATCTAGATTCCCTTTTGTTTATATTGTCAGTTTGGGATAGTCAGCTGAGGGGCGGATCCAGCCGGCAGCAAGGGAGGGGGCAAAATAGGGAGCCCAATTTTTGAGAATAAAATGTTCAGCGGCGAATCAGCCAGCCGGCAAATAGGCAGGGGGGGGGGGGGTGTTAGGAGCACTTATTTTTTTTTTTTTTTCATCCCAATTCGCGAGAAAATATTTACGTCAAATCAGCCAGGGGGGGGGGCACTTATTTGTTTTAAATCAACACCCACCCCCCCCCCCCGCCCCTTGAGCCAGGGGGAGGGGACCTGTCTACTTTATTTATTTGTTAAAAGGTTAAATTTACCCTCCCCCCCCCCCCCCCTCGAGCTGAGACAGCTTGCCAAAATCATATAACTTTTTTTCTTAATTGCTTCCCAAACTTTTCAGGAATTGGACATTTACAAATGAGCAGACCTTTATGTAACAAAATCAAAATTGAGATGCCCTTGTTTCTTCCACTCATCAAGAGATTGCACTTGAAGATGAAGTATTTTTCAATTACAAGTTGGTCAAATTAGATACTTCACCGATACCCACAGTCCACACATATTCTAAACTCACCTTCGCAAGTTCACCGTCACGCAGAAAGTGGAGAAGATACGTTTGACTTGGTACAACTCCCGCCTCGTCGGGCGGGGCGCTGCAAATCACCAGAGCACAACATCCCTCCAAGTCACTGGCTGTTCTAATCACGGGACTTGGAATAATACTAGCCTTGCCATCCTCCGATGCCGTCTCTGGTCCATCGAACACCACCCCGCAACCTCCATGACCGAAACGGGCAATGTTCGACAAGATTGTGGTGTGGGATTTCCCGTAGAGCAGCTCAGGTTGGACGAAACCTCGCGCGTCGGTTCGAACCTCGTTCCATTCGTAGAATCTACTGTGGCCGCCTGTCTTTGCGAGTTGCTTCACTGAGCAGTGGTTGCCATCGAAACCGCATCGTAGCAGTGCGATTTCAGCCAAATCGTGGTCTAACTCTCCCCTGCCAACTGTGTTTAGAACAAGGGCGGTGCCCCCGCCGTGTTTGGCGTTCACGTTCATTTTAGTGTCGGTGAGAGATGGGAGTGGAAATTTGTTGATAGAGGATGCTTCAATGCAAGCATGTTCAGCTGTAAAAAGAATACACATGCGGTTAATGCAAATTATATGGTATATAAACGAGTGATGAAATTACATTTCGCATTCCACCCTTTTTAAAGAGTTCATTTTCATCATACAAATTAGTAACTATATTAGGCCTACTTTTTCTACAATCTTTCCTAAGCTTTTAATTTCACCCTTCCCATGCATACCCACATCCCTCTCTCTCTCTCTCTCTCTCTCTCTCTCTGATCTCCCCGCCCCCTGATCTATCGATTTCTCGATCTTCCTCTGTTTTTTGTTCCTCCATCCATTGGCCTTCCTCCTGGGTAATAACTTTTATATCTACCTCCCCTCTCATTATTTCTAGGTAATATGCATCGCTCCGTCCTCTCCTCTCTTTTTCTCTCTCTCTCTTTTCTCTCTCTTTCCGTGGTCATCCTCCATCCAAAATCATCCCTTCCTTCTGATTTTAACCTTCGTATCCCTATTTCCCTCACCAGCTCTATGCCATGTACCCCCTCTCTCTCTCTCTCTCTCTCTCTCTCTCTCTCTCTCTTCTCTTCCCCCCCCCCCCCCCCCCCCCCCAGCTCTCAAAGGATTTTGTCCTACTTATCATATAACGACATAGAGCGTGCATATACATTGTCATGATATTTGCTGGTGATTTTTTTTTTCCCCCCGCTTGTTTTGTATAATATTCATATTCTAAATGTGCCTTGAATTCTTTCTTAGTTTTGATGAATAACTTACCAACTGGTGGAGATGATAGTGGTCTTGGAGGGAGTCTCAGATCCACTCTCTTAATTTCCATAGATGGAGCTGATCAACCAAAAGGAAAAAAGAAAGAAAGAAACAGAAGCAATGATTCATTTGTATAATTTGACTTTTAACAAATATTGTCAGCGAATTCAATTAGTAACAAAACTTCTCTCGAAGGACAATGCTTAAGTTTTAAGAGTAAAGCTAAGTGATAACAACGTAGTAAAATAGCCCCCCCCCCCAAACAAACAAACAAACAAACAAAAAACAAAACAAAATCTCAATAATTAACATTAATTATCCTCATCATCGCTATCTGTCATCAGCGTGGCCATCATCACCGACGTCGTCACCATCACTGATTTATTAGTAGCAGTACTGCTATCATCATTGTTATCATGTGTCATCAAAACAATATTTTTCATTTTTATTTTTTGTTGTAATTTATCGGTAATGTACGAAAACACTTAGTACATATAATAAGCCTTTATGACATTTTTTTTATTAACATGTCGTTCAAAGTCTTCTGTTTTTGGATAATGATAGGTACACTTGTTCTTGTGTATTATATATGTACTTACTCGGTTTGGCCTTAGCGAGTCTGGCTGCCTTCATCATTTTGGTGTTCTTTCCCGCCATTTTCAAAGCTGTCACCACCTCTACTTTCTTGAAGGCCTTATCCGCCCCATGATTGGTGGACGCCTCGTTGGTTTCCATGGTAACCTCCTATTCCAAACTGTCTAGTGGTATATAGTCTATCTGCATAGGATTACACAAAATAAATTTTCCTTCATCGAGATAAATGAAATTGGTGTGCGTGGAATAATACATTTCTTAATTCAATGTAATTTAAAGTAACAATAATTTTCATTTCCTTCATTTCTTTTAAATGTACCTGTAAAAGAGTTTCAATGAGGCCACAAGTGTGACAACACTACATAACATTTACCCACGATAGTAGTGGAACGCACTGTGTTCACAAAGAGAACCACGGGATGTAGACATTGCTCTATAGCAAAGGATGGGTTTGGATCACTTTCATAGTAGTGCCATTGTGACCGAATTACGGTCACAGTATATGTATTCACACTATGTAAAATATAAAGTGTAAAACCATGCGGTGGTCCCGAATAGATTAAACAACGTCTAAACTTTGTTTGACGTCACTATAGAATATTATAGTGGTAACAAAGTGGACAAACTGTGTTCATGCTGTGGGTTCGGATCACTTTCATACTATTGACCATGTGAAGGAATTGTGGTCACATTATAATATTCACACTGTGGTCCCAAATAGAAGAACAGTGTGTAAACTGTTTGAAAATATTGTGTTCATATTGTTGGTTTGGATCACTTTCATAGTATTGACCGTGTGAAAAAAACGTGGGCACAATTATTCACACTATGCAACATAATGTAACACACTGTGGCCCCATGCAGATAGAAGAACAGTGTGTTTTCTGCTGTTTGACCATACTGTATATTTGACTAGGCCTATGTGAAAATAATGTGTTCATACTGTGGGAACACTATGGAACACTCTCTTCAGGGGAACTATCACACGGGATACCCATCTGTAAGTTGGTGATGTGACCACAGTTATTATTCTGACAACAATATATACTTCCATTCTATTCCATCAGATCGTGTATAGTAGGCGTATTAAAATAAACAGGTTCATAATTTTCCTTGTCGAAAAAAAATTATCTAACAGCGTAGACAGAAAACTTGTGTTCACTAGTCAATGCTGTTAAATTGTTATAGAACCAATCTTTGGGCATACTGTCGTGTGAACATGCACATTGACTTATTGTACTGTGACCGCGACGTGTCACACTATGTTGCACAGTGGTGAAACTTATGTGAACACAGTAAACAAAATTCTTACAAATTCATACTCCTTTTACATACAGTGTTGCCAACAAAAAGGTCCACTCTGAAAGCACATTTTGGTTAATATACTATAAAATTGTTACAGATCTGTGGCCCGCAAGGCCCCTGAAATACATCTCGCCCTGCCAAGCCCCCCCCCCCCCCCCCCCCACTCTCAATGACCTCTACCACCAGTGCCCAACCTTCATATCTGGAAACACACCACTGCTTTAACACTCAACGTATATACAGGTAAACTTTGTAATTGCCAGGGTCCACGTACCTAGGAAGCCGTTAAGTTCATACAGTCACCATTATTCATACGTGACTCGCTTCCATAAAGAAAAAAAGACAGGATATCGTTATAATTTGTTCAAGGAACTTTTCTTACATAAAAAATATAGCTTTGTGATTTACGCTGCTTACCCCCCCCCCCCCCCCCCCCCCCCCCCTGCCCAAATCTTCAAAATTGAATGTACGACGCATGCTCCAGCAATTATGTCCCCGCTGTCAATTTCCTACTCTAACCGACCTCCGAACTTCAACATTGGATCAATAACTATTACCCTTAGCCTAACCATAAACCTAAAACCCACTGGCAACCTTTCCTATAACTCAATATTTTTGACAGTATATATAAGGCTTAAGAGTCCGTGTCACTGATTCCAAAGTTGAAATGCTTGGCCAATATTCTGAGAATTACAAGTGAAGTGAAAACGTTTATTTAGCGGCGAGTCAGTCCGCGAATAAGCGGGGGTGGGGGGAGGGTAGTGAAGCTTCGGATTTATAACACATAATTAAAGGCGGAAACAGCATACAAAGAAGGAAATATATATTTTTAATATCAATCGATCAATCAATCTAAATATATTTGATATAGCGCCTGTGCCATTTTAAGTCAAGGCTTTCCCCTTTGTTCCAGAGAATTTCCGCATTCTTACACTCCGCCAATACCCGCAAGTTTCTCAATAGACTAGATAATTCAAATTATTGGAGTCAAGTTACACGACTGCAGGCCTACATGTGTTGCTAAATGCGCAGCTTTGCGGCCTTACGTCAATGTCGTTGATGATCTTTCTGTGGCATTTATTAGTCAAAACCACTACGAAAACAACAGTGACATAATAAAGTGGCAATAAATTCATATGAATTATATACAAATATGCATATACTCATGAACTAAAATATATATAATATATATATATATATATATATATATATATATATATATATATATATATATATATATAATTAGGCCTATATATAAAGTTTTTACTCTGACCTCAATGTATATTCATATACTGTCAATAAAATATCCAGTTTATGATTTGGAAGACTGGAAGAAATATGAAAATATTTTTAAAAAATGCTCAGCATAATGTATTGAACTCACCAGTATGCAGCGTGCATGTATGTCCAAGCCCAGTTAAGGTCAAATCAGCTGTGCACGAATTCATCCAGTAGTCTGAAGCTATTATACCCTGCCTTTTATTCTCATCTGTATAAATGAGGAACAAAACATTAATCCAACCTGCGAACCATTATCACGTAATTATAAAGGAGAACTGTCACCCCGCGTCCGCCGTAGCCGGAAGAATACCAGAGATTAAAATGTACATAGCATGTGAAAAGAACAGTGCTACAGGAAACTTTACATTAGGCCTGTACTTCATATTCAAGCTACAAACATCAAGCATTTCCTGGCGATTCATCACCCCTTGTTCGCCACGCCCCCCCCCCCCCCCCCCCCCCGGACAAACCGAACTTGAAGCTTAGCTAGGTATTAATCACCGTATTATACCGTACAAAGCTACAGTGAGAATCTTACAACATCCAACATCTTTCCATCATTACATATAGCAACTTAAAGGGAAAGTCTACCCCCAAAATAAGTTTGTTTAGATAGAGGCAGAATAATAAGAAAATCAGGTGAGTGAAAGTTTGAGCAAATTCTGAATGAAAATAAGAAAGTTATGAATTATTGAAGTTGTGATCAATCAAATACAAATTGGCAACTCTGTGACTTATTATACGAGCTCTCCTTCATTTGCTTTGTGCATAATATTCCATAAAATCATGTTTTCTTCGTTATTGATGACGGAATATATATTTGTTCCTTGCAGGGGGAGTATAGAAACATATTTGCAATTATTATATTTAGGGTGCATGTATGGTTGAAATTTTTCTTGAGGGAAAATGAAAATTTTAGATTTTTTTAGTACTGAGCAAATGGAAGTTGAGCTCGCATGATACGTCATAGAGTTGCCAATTCGTGTTTGATTGATCACAACTTCAAAAATCTTAACTTCCTTATTTTTAATCGGAATTTGCTCAAACTTTCACTGACTGTGTTTCTCTCATTTTTCTACTCCTATTAAAACTAACTTAATTTCAGGGTGGACTTCCCCTTTAACGTTGCTGTCTTTGTAATCATAATAGTCTAATATATTAGCTGTTTATGTGTTTTGATAGGAGGCCAATCGATCTATTGTTGTTTTACGCACGTGGAAACTATACAAAGCCGCCAAATGTAGATCGTTTTGCCCTGATTAATTTTGCAGGGTGATTATTTCAAGCAGAGGCGACGATAGGTGGGGCTTGTTGGGGGGGGGGGGTTGAAATTATCATGGGTTGTCGTTACTCTTCAATAAAGGGATTGTGATAACAAAAATTTATCTTGGCACGGGGTGTGGCTTTCGTCAACGAAATGAAAAGCCAATGCAATAGGCTCATTTCCCAGCGGACCTGTGGGCAAATGTGGTGACACCCCCCCCCCCCCGCCCGACTTCAAACTGTTCAAGCAACGCGCCCCTGAGAATGTCTAAGTTGGATCTAACTTGACGTGATGTATGAGGCATTTAATTCCTTATCTCGTCTTATTAGTTACACGACAAAAGGGAAGCAGCTCATCGTTGTTTTTTTTTCGGTAAACATGTGAGAAAATCCTACCCCCGCCCCCTCCCCCATTTCATAATTCACTTGTGACGCCCCTGAGCCATTGCTTTGTAAGTTTTAGAGAGAAGAGCTGGATCGAACATGATGCGTCAGGCATGCATTCCTTGTCATGTCCAATTAGTTGCCCGCAGTTCATAAAGTCAGGGACGTGGTGTGAATGGCTGGAGCAAAATCTGAATCACACCGAGTTAAAACAGATCAGATTGATACGGAAAGCAAACTTCATTTTGAAATAACCAGAAAAAGGTATAATTGTACTTGTTGTGCTTCAGATAATAATTATTAGATCAATCTTATTCCTAAATGTAAAGAAAACAATTTAAAAGATTAAATTTTCTAAATGATGCGGTTGATTAGCTTACAATGGTGATGACTTGTACTGTTTCTTGGGAACTTTCTTCCTAAACAGACCTTCTTTCTCAGGAGCCCCCCCCCCCCTCCCCCCCCCCCCCTCCTCCTCTCTCTCTCTCTCTCTCTCTCTCCCTCCCTTTCTCTCTCTCTCTCTCTCCCCCTCTATTTCATTTAGACATGTTCCATATCACACAATACATGTTATTTTACTCATTTCTTAGGAAGAATATATTAAACGATTAAATATAGTATAAACCCAATGTATAGTTTATACAGTTAGGCCTATGTAGTCCATGTGCATGTAACTGCAACACAATAAATTACCTAAATGTGATATTCTTTGTAAATGGTATTGTACTGTAAAAATCATATGGCTTGCCTTAATTCCTAATATGATATTCTTTGTAAATGGTATTGTACTGTAAAAATCATATGGCTTGTCTTAATTCCTAATATGATATTCTTTGTAAATGGTATTGTACTGTAAAAATCATATGGCTTGCCTTAATTCCTAATATGATATTCTTTGTAAATGGTATTGTACTGTAAAAATCATATGGCTTGCCTTAATTCCTAATGTGATATTCTTTGTAAATGGTATTGTACTGTAAAAATCATATGGCTTGCCTTAATTCCTAATGTGATATTCTTTGTAAATGGTATTGTACTGTAAAAATCATATGGCTTGCCTTAATTCCTAATGTGATATTCTTTGTAAATGGTATTGTACTGTAAAAATCATATGGCTTGCCTTAATTCCTAATGTGATATTCTTTGTAAATGGTATTGTACTGTGAAAATCATATGGCTTGCCTTAATTCCTAATATGATATTCTTTGTAAATGGTATTGTACTGTAAAAATCATATGGCTTGCCTTAATTCCTGATATGATATAAATTGTATTGTACTGTAAAAATCATATGGCTTGCCTTAATTCCTAATATGATATTCTTTGTAAATGGTATTGTACTGTAAAAATCATATGGCTTGCCTTAATTCCTAATATGATATAAATGGTATTGTACTGTAAAAATCATATGGCTTGCCTTCATTCCGAAAAAGGTACCATAATACTAATGACTATTAATTTTGTTGTTGGAATGAGGACGTGATTATACGACAAACTTTCAAGGGCTCGACCCTACAGCACCTCATCGCTTACATAACAAGTCAGGAAATTCACCAGGTTCTCAGGAAATAACCTGTATATGTTATCTCAAAACCACAAACCCTAATTTCATATTTGACCCTGAGAGCAGGGTTCCTAGTATTTCATGACAAATTAATTTCCCTGATTTTTATTTTCCAATGATGGATTTTAAAATTCTCTCTCTTTCTCTCTCTCTCTCTCTCTCTCTTTCTCTCTTTTACTCTCTCTTTCTCTCTCTCTCTCTCTCCCTCTCTCCCTCCCTCCCCTCTATCCCTCTCTCTCTCTCTCTATTTCCCTCTCTCTCACTCTATCTACCTCTCTCTCTCTCTCTCTCTCTCTCCCCCTCTCCCTGTCTCCGCCTGTATATCTGTCTCTCTCTCTCTCTCTCTCTCTCTCGCTGCTTCTCTCTCTCTCTCTCTCTCTCTCTCTCCGTCTCTTTCTCTGTCTCGTATAAACCAAAGTGCAGTTATTGATATTGCAGCGTTTCTTTGTTAATTTCTGGGTGCGGTTGTCACGTACAAGGTCAATCCATGGAAACTACACAGCCGTAGCATATTAACCATATCCGTTAAATACCTTACGCAATCTTTGTGCAACATTTTGTTGAATTTATACCGGGGATTATTCGTTATGGAAAAAACAGACTTAATTGAGTATACCAAGGAGGATCTCTTTGAGTATACTAAAGGATTTGTGGGATGTTTGGATAACCCTGCATTTGTGAGTGGGCAGAGTCATTTACAGCTCTAAATTTATCAATTTAATAGAAGTATTTATTTCCACATGTATAAAGCAAGACAAAATAACTGTAACCTTCTTAATAAAATGGTACAAATAATGTACAAATATGATGGGATCATTAAGATCTTTGTATAACTTGTTGGTCTCAAAGGGAACACGCGAGCCTGTTGTGCAACCCCCCCCCCCCCTCCCCCGAAAAAAAAACAAAGCTGCCAATTCTTTGTTCTGGATTTATTACAGCCATTTAGTCCATTTCAGCCTGGGAGGGGGGGGGGTGAGAGGAGAAAGCAACAACTAAATCTGAAGAGATATTGATAAATTTTATATAAAGAGTGGCTTGAAACAAGGATATACGGAGGAGAGAAAACGAAAAAAGAAATAGAGAAATTCAGAGACAGATATAAATAAGAGAAATAGGCGAAATCCACTTATTTACTTATCTCGGCATGGGTTCAAATCACTACATTTATCATGTTCAGTGCCACCCTCTAATGTTGATGCAGTGTCAGTATTTTCCTCACATGGGGTATTTAAAAAAACAAGACCCTATATACTCCAGTGGCGGGTTGAGTGGGTTGAGTGGGTCCCCCTAAAGCATACATTTAGTACACAACAAAAACCTGACCCTTGATGTTTTGGGGGAATCACTCCCCCCCCCCCCCCCCCCCCCCTCAAGTACCTTAACACAATCTGGATTTGCCACTCCGTAGCAAATAAGATGTCACAAAGAGTTTTTTGTTATTTCACTTGTCTTTGTAGTTTTCCGATCTAGGTCAAATCCTACTCTTTTACAATTTTTAGTGAGCTCGCGAAGTCATTTTTTAAAAGAAACACATTGATCATTATCATGGACCTTCAAATCTTTGGTTTCCTGTGAGAAGAAAATTCGATAACATTTTCTCCGTCATTTTTTCCTGTCGTGTGCTAACAAATATTATCAACAATATAGTTCAGATAATATGTGTCATAAAGCCTTGATACAAAGGAAGAAGCGAGGCATGAATATTCACTCCATGCGTGAAAAGACAAACTAATAGTATACAGAGTTTATACAAGGCTTTTCATATGCTCAGGATGTGGACTATTAGTTGTGTGGAGAAAAACAATTGCAGGGGTGCAGCTTTTAAAAACAGAGTTATACATGATAAATACTTTACTACGGCATCAAAACAAGAGTAGGCCAATAATTGTTTTGTAATTGTGGATATCTGCTAAATTAGGACGTAAATTGATCGGCCGTTTTAACGATTTTTGTGAAATTTGCGGGAATACATTTTTTGGGGACGGATTGGGATCTTATCTACCCTGGGTTGATGAAAACATGCATACAGGCCGTTTTTTAATTCATTAATTTTATCCAAGCTTGATGAACTAACTCCTTGCATCTTTTTCCGAAAATGGGTGTTATTCCGATTCTCGTGAAAGTTGCCAAACTACACTATCTTAGACAAATTGGACTGATGAAAAATAATGAAAAGAGGCACTTTTCAAAAATTTATTTGGCCAAAAAGGGATTGCCCAATTTGGCATTTCGTTGATTTTCGTGAAATTTGCCAGAATACACTTTTGTGGACTGATTTGATTGGGGCTCAGCTCTCCTGGTTTGAGGAAAAAACATGAAAAGAGGCCATTTTAGGCGAATTTCACAAACACATATGCAATTTGCATTCTGACTATTGAAACCACAATCACTATTTTAATTAAATAATTTGTAACGAAGCACTTAACAAAGACTTGTGCATTAAGTGATTAAATTACGCAAATGGTCTATTCAAACTTGGTCTCGTAGTCACAATTATTGCCCTTTACTCCATAAATCCGATTTCGCTGTTTAATTGAACGATCGTCGGAAAGGAAAACTAAAAATTTAAGTTAACTTACCCTGGCCTTGCACCGCACCAGGGAGCTACACAGCACCAATGCGACTAGCTGATCACAACTAAAGAATATTCACGGCTGTATAGTTTATATACACAAGATCATGATAATCCATAATAACAATGAATCCATACGAGTTTCTACACGCTTGAAACTGCTGGACTGATTCATCGCCCCCCCCCCCCCAAAAAAAAAAAAAAAAATCCGTGTTAATTGCCCTTGTAAAGTAACCAACTATACACAGCCGTGGTACATTAACCATATCCGTTAAATACCTTACGCAATCTTTGTGCAACATTTTGTTGAAGTTATACCGGGGATGATTCGACATGGGAAAAAACAGACTTGATTGCTTTTGAGTATACTAAAGGATTTTGTGGGACGTTTGGATAACCCTGCATTTTTCAGTGGGCAGAGTCATTTACAGCTCCAAATTTATAAAATTGAACTGAACTATTTATTTCCTCATCTCCATTTTAAAAACATTTATAAAGGATGACAAAATAACTGTAGCCTACTTAATAACAACGTACAAGATAATATACAAATGTGATGGATAATAAAGATCTTTGTATAACTTTTATACATCATCGTATTTACATTGATACAGGGGCGACTTCATGTTTTGAAAAATGGGGGGAATAGTTGTCATTGGGGGTAGTTTTCCAGGGGGTAAATGTCCGGGGGTGGTTGTCCTAGGGGGTAGTTATCTGGGGGGGGGGGGGTTAGTTGTCCGAAAGGTAGTTGTCCCGGGGGGTAATCGTCCTAGAGGGTGGTTGCCCTAGGGGTTGGTTGCCCTAGGGGTAGTTGTCATAGGGGTTAGTTGACTGGGGGATGGTTATCCGGGGATGGATGTCCAGGGGGGTAGGTGTCCTGGAACCGTTCGAATCACTACATTTATCATGTTCAGTGCCACCCTCTAATTTTGATGCAGTGTCAGTATTTTCCTCACATGAGGTATATAAAACAACAAGACCCTATACTCCAGAGGCGGGTTGAGTGAGGTGCCCACTTGTTGACCCCCTCCCCCCCCCCCCAAAAAAAAGCATACCTTTAGTACACATCAAAAACATGCCCCTTCATTTATTTATTTATTTATTTGGGGGGGGGGGATCACCCCTCTCCCACTTCCTTAACAAAATTTGGATTTACCACTCCATAGCAAATAAGATGTCACAAAGGTGTTTTTTAAATTTCACTTGTCTTTGTGGTTTTCCGATCTAGGTCAAATCCTACTCTTTTACAATTTTTAGTGAGCTCGCGCAGTCATTTTTTTTTAAAAGAAACACAATAATCATTATCATGGACCTTCAAATCTTTGGTTTCCCGTGAAGAGAAAACGCGATAACATTTTCCCTTCATTTTTTCCTGTCGTTTGCTAACAATATTATCAACAATAATTCAGATATTATTATTATTTTTTTTTTTTTTCCCCTTCCACAGGGTTCTTTATTTTTCAAAACAAATTTCATCATATACAGAACATCCATATATCATATACAAATAATTAAAGAAATAATTTCCATACATAATGGCTTGACACAGATAATAATCATCACGGCCAAAAACTCTTGTGGCAGATAAAAACAAACATTTATGACAAAATTAGTACTTTAAATATATAATTTTAAAAAAATACCAAACATAAATGCATGATCATGTTTATGTTAGCACATTTCCAACACTCCCAAAATATTTTTTAAAGTGAAACCATTTCTTTTTTAGTTTATTCTCTCTGAGATTTGTTTGGTATATATATTTTTCCATTTCATAATAACGTTTTACAGCTGATAAAATTATATCAAATGATGGTAGTTGATTTCGTAATTTAGCTGAAAATATTTCTTGTCTTACAACCATCAGAACACAGTTGAGTGCATTATTATTGCAACCGCAAAATCCAAACAATTTATTTTGATTTGTAAATTTGATCCTTTCCCCCGTATTACGAAATATCCAGAACTCTAACTTCGACCATACTTCATTAGAATAGTTACAAAAGCAAAAAACATGTATGATAGTTTCATCATTGTTACTACAAAAAGTACACTTCTTGTCAGCCACTACACCAAATCTTAACAAACTGTCCTTCATATATAATATTCTATTTAAAATCTTGATTTGAAACCACCTCATGTTGATATCTATTGTTGACTGAAATGGAATTTGACAGTACGAATCCCAAAGTACATCTTGAAAATCTAAAAAACTTTTCCACTTTGTAAGGGCTTTACATTCTTTTACTTTGTTTTTTAGCAAAGACTGATAAATATGTGAACAACCAACATTTGTTTTCACCACAAGGTGCACGGCTTCGGGAATGATAGGTGCTAAGGCCTTACTAGGAGCTACATGTGTAGTCATTTTAAAACCTGACCGAATTGCATTACAAAGACCATAGTACTGGAAGAAATTTGTTCAGATATTATGTGTCATTTTTGCCCTGTGCATGATACAAATGAATAAGCGAGGCATGAATATTCACTCCATGCGTCAAAAGACAAACTAATATACGGAGAGTTTATACAATAAGGCTTTTCATTATGTGCGGGATGTGGACTATTAGTTGAGTAGAGAGAAACAATTACAGGGGTGCAGCTTTTAAAAACAGAGTGTTACATGATAAATACTTTACATGATGAATACATTTTTGGGGGGACGGATTGGGATCTTATCTACCCTGGGTTGAAGAAAAACATACAAACAGGCCGTTTTTTTAATTCATTAATTTTATCCAAGCTTGATGAACTAACTCCTTGCATCTTTTCCGAAAATGGATGTTATTCCGATTCTCGTGAAAGTTGCCAAACTTCACTATCTTAGACAAATTGGACTGATGAAAAATAATGAAAAGAGGTCCTTTTCAAAAATTTATTTGGCCAAAAAGGGATTGCCCAATTTGGCATTTCGTTGATTTTCGTGAAATTCGCCAGAATACACTTTTTTGGACTGATTTGATTGGGGCTCAGCTCTCCTGGTTTGACGAAAAAACATAAAAAGAGGCCACTTTAGGCAAATTTCACAAACACATATGCAATTTGCATTCTGACTATTGAAACCACAATCATTATTTTAATGAAATAATTTGTAACGAGGCACTTAACAAAGACTTGTGCATTAAGTGATTAAATTACCCAAATGGTCTATTCAAACTCGGTCTCGTAGTCACAATTATTGCCCTTTACTCCATAAATCCGATTTCGCTGTTTAATTGAACGATCGTCGCAAAGGAAAACTAAAAATTTAAGTTAACTTACCCTGGCCTTGCACCGCACCAGGGAGCTACACAGCACCAATGCGACTAGCTGATCACAACTAAAGAATATTCACGGCTGTATAGTTTCATAAATCAGTTTATATACACAAGATCATGATAATCCATAATAACAATGAATCCATACGAGTTTCTACACGCTTGAAACTACTGGACTGATTCATCGCCCACCCCCCCCCCCAAAAACAAAAAAAAATCCGTGTGAATTGCCCTTGTAAAGTATGAAACTATACACAGCCGTAGTACATTAACCATATCCGTTAAATACCTTACGCAATCTTTGTGCAACATTTTGTTGAATTTATACCGGGGATGATTCGACAAGGGAAAAAACAGACTTGATTGCTTTTGAGTATACTAAAGGATTTTGTGGGACGTTTGGATAACCCTGCATTTTTCAGTGGGCAGAGTCATTTACAGCTCCAAATTTATAAAAATTGAATTGAACTATTTATTTCCACATCTCCATTTTAAAAACATTTATAAAGCATGACAAAATAACTGTAGCCTACTTAATAACAAGGTACAAGATAATATACAAATGAGATGGATAATAAAGATCTTTGTATAACTTTTATACATCATCATATTTACATTGATACAGGGGCGACTTCATGTTTTGAAAAATGGGGGGAATAGTTGTCATAGGGGGTAGTTTTCCAGGGGGTAAATGTCCGGGGGTGGTTGTCCTAGGGGGTAGTTATCTGGGGGGGGGGGTAGTTGTCCGGAAGGTAGTTGTCCCGGGGGGTAATCGTCCTAGAGGGTGGTTGCCCTAGGGGGTGGTTGCCCTAAGGGGTAGTTGTCATAGGGGGTAGTTGACTGGGGGATGGTTATCCGGGGATGGATGTCCAGGGGGTAGTTGTCCTGGAACCGTTCAAATCACTACATTTATCATGTTCAGTGCCACCCCCTAATTTTTGATGCAGTGTCAGTATTTTCCTCACATGAGGTATATAAAACAACAAAACCCTATACTCCAGAGGCGGGTTGAGTGGGGTGCCCACTTGTTGACCCCCCCCCCCCCAAAAAAAAGCATACCTTTAGTACACATCAAAAACATGCCCCTTCATTTATTTTTTTTTTGGGGGGGGGGGGATCACCCCTCCCCCACTTCTTTAACAAAATTTGGATTTGCCACTTCATAGCAAATAAGATGTTACAAAGAATTTTCTTTTTATTTCACTTGTCTTTGTGGTTTTCCGATCTAGGTCAAATCCTACTCTTTTACAATTTTTAGTGAGCTCGCGCAGTCATTTTTTTAAAAGAAACACATTCATCATTATCATGGACCTTCAAATCTTTGTTTTCCCGTGAAAAGAAAATGCGCTAACATTTTCCCGTCGTGTGCTAACAAATATTATCAACAATATAGTTCAGATAATATGTGTCATAAAGCCATGATACAAAGGAAGAAGCGAGGCATGAATATTCACTCCATGCGTGAAAAGACAAACTATTATTATACAGAGTTTATACAAGGCTTTTTATATGCTCAGGATGTGGCCTATTAGTTGTGTGGAGAGAAACAATTGCAGGGGTGCAGCTTTTAAAAACAGAGTATACATGATAAATACTTTACTACGGCATCAAATCAAGAGTATAGGCCAATTGTTAGGTGATTGTTGTTAAACCCCTTGCACCTTTTTGTTTAATGAACGTTTTAACAATTTTCATGAAATTTGCCGGAATACACTTTTTGGGACGGATTGGGCTCTCATCAACCATGGGTTGACGAAAAACATTGAAAACAGGCCGCTTTCAAATTCATTGCATCTTTTCCGAAAATGGGTGTATACCGATTCTCGTGAAAGTTGCCGAATTGGATTCTGGACTGATGAAACATAATGAAGAGAGGTCCTTTACAAAAATTGAAAATAGTTTGCCAAAAAGGGATTACCCAAATTGGCATTTCTTTGATTTTCGTGAAATTTGCCAGAATACACTTTTTGGGGACTGATTTGATTGGGTCTCAGCTCTCCTGGTTTGAGGAAAAAACATGAAAAGAGGCCATTTTAGGCGAATTTCACAAACATGACTGTGTGCAATTTCCATTCTGACTAGTGAAATACAATTATTCGTAACAGGTGAATGAAATCATTTGTAACGAGGCACTTCACAAAGACTTGTGGCGGTGCATTAAAGGTAATACAAAGTTTTGGGAAATTTTGAAATTGGGTGGATAGTGATTCTTTACAATTTTGATGTATTTGGATACCCCTTTGGATGTAATATAAGCAGTAGAAAATTTAGCCCCTAAAACACTTCTGCTTTCGAGAAAAATTGAATATAAAAATTTACCTGTGCTTCCGGTAAATTTTGATATACCTTTCAATTAGCGTCTACGTCCGTACGATGGTAGCTGCGACCATGAAAATCTCAGAATATGTAGTTGTGATATATAATTTCCAAACGGGAGTAGCTAATCGGTTGATTTTAGTCAAGAAACATTGTTTTAATGTCTTGACCTTGAGAGGGAGCTATACCACATAAAGAGTTTATTATTTACAATTTCATAACTTTAGACTCGATTTCAACCGCGACAATGATCACTGAATATTGTAAGGTCGCATATGCTTCCAATATGTTCATTTGAACCAAATTCATGACCCCATACCAAAACTTTGTATTACCTTTAAGTGATTAAATTACCCAAATGATCTATACAAGCTCAGTCTCATAGTCACAAGTATAGCCCGGCCTTTCCCCCATAAATCCGATTTCGCTGAATTGAACGATCGTCGCAAAGGAAAACTAAAAAAAATTAAGTTACTTACTCTGGCCTTGCACCGCAACAGGGAGCTGCACAGCACCAATGCAACTAGCTGATCGCAACTAGCTGATCACAACTAAAGAATATTCACGGCTGTATAGTTTCATAAATCAGTTTATATACACAAGATCATGATAATCCATAATAACAATGAATGCATGCGAGTTTCTACACGCTTGAAACTGCTGGACTGATTCATCGCTCCCCCCCCCCCCAAAAAAAAAAAAAATCATGGTTGAAGGACTGCAGGGAATTTCCGTTGGGATAGTGTACTCATAGTGACTTAAATCTGGCTTTTTGCAGGTATGAATTGAGAGAAAAACAGAAACATTTCTGTCTTTATTTTACTGCTCCCGTCCCTGTCTTAAGCTCCTCCTTTATCATTTATCCCCGTTTCTCTCTCCCCCTCCTTCCCTCCCCTGTCTCTCTCTCTCTCTCTCTCTCCCTCTCTCTCTCTCTCTCTCTCTCTCTTTCTTCCTCCCTTGTTTGTTTGTTTGTTTTTATTTCCGAAATCCATATATACATTTAAAACACATTTCAAACGATAAGAAAGTAATTAAATGTGTAAAGTATAGACAAACGGTTGGATAGCCCATTTCAGAACCATTTTCAAAATGGTCCTGTTCTTCCATGGGGTCCAAAAGCAAAAATCATAATAATTTACATACAATATCAATTTTTATAAAAATCATAATAATTTACCAATACACTACCCCCCTTATCGATCCCCCTAACCTCACCACCCCACCCCCCCCCCCCCCCAACGTCTTGATACTGCCAACCCCTCCCCGCTACCCCTTCCAAAGTCAATCAGTGTATATTATCTCTGTCATAACATTTCATAACATTCTGTCATAACATTCCCTTCCGCTCCCTACTCTTTCTCTCTCTTCCTTCCTCCTTTCCCCCTCTCTCCCTCTCCCCCTCCCTCTCTCTCTCTCTCTTCATCCCTTCCTCTCCCTATCCCTCCCTACTCTCTTTCTCTCTCTCTCTTCCTCCTTCCCTCTCTCTTTCTTCCTTCCTTCCTCTCCCTACTCTCTCTATCTCTCTCTCTCTCTCTCACCGGCTCTCTCTCCCTTCCTCCCCCTCTCTCTTTCTCTCTCTCTCTCTCTCTGTGACATTAGATGTTTCACCCCCTAAGGAACTATAGGGCATACCAGTAACATGACAAGAAATCACTTCAAACCATGAACAACCAATCTCAACACAAGGTGTATCATGAAAATATAAGCTCCTCCTTTAGTTATCCCAGTTTCTCTCTCCCTCCTTCCCTTCCTCTCTACTCTCTTTCTCTTTTTCTCTCTTCCTTCACTCCCCCTCTCTCTCTTTCTTCCTCATTCCCTCTCTCTCTCTCTCTCTCTCCCTCCCTCCCTCCCCCCTCTCTCTCTCTCTCCCTCCCTCTCTCTCTCTCTCTCTCTCCCCCCTCTCTCTCTCTCTCTCTCTCTCTCCCCTCTCTCTCTCTTTCCCTCCCTCCCCCTCTCTCTCTCTCTCCATCTCTCCCTCCCTCTCTCTCTCTCTCTTTCTATGTGATATTAGATGGTTTGCCGCCTAAGGAACTACAGGGCATACCAGCAACATGAAAAGAATTCACTTCAAACCATGAACAATCAATCTCAGATGAAACATAATACAAGGTGTATCATGAAAAGGAATCGCCTGATGAGGTTCTTTTTAATCGATCGACTTCAAGAATGAGACAGACTCTTAAAAATCTGACAGGCGACAACATAATACAGCAACATAACATTTCATCTCATAATCAAATTTCCATTTTTGTCATAAATAAAGAATGAATAAATGATTGAGGAGGATCACAAAAGATTCATTTCTTTAAAAGGAAGTTGTACAATTTCAAAAATGCTGTCCCTAAAATTATGTAGTTACCCATTTCAATGTCACAGAGTTTCTTAAAAAAGAGGAATCTCAGAGAAACTGAATGTTGCATCCAGTTTGATATTAATTCTTTGAAATATGAAATAATAGCACTGAAACATTTTTATATCAATTTTGTCCCCTTCAAAATAAAAAGTGAATATTAATTGTACTTGATAATTGGATGATTTATCTTCTTCTGATTGGTCTGAATTTGTTCTATTTTGAGGGCTGCCATTTATCAGTTAGAAGGAGGCAATGAAAAATTTGACACCCATATGGCCCTCACATGACAACATTCATGTTTCATTGCAAATACACTGTACATGTTGATTACATGTACCGGTACATTCAGGTCTCTAGAGCAGAAACAAAAAGTCTTTTGGTCAGTTTACCATGATCCTTTGAATTCTGCACCAGATGCATCAATCAGTCAGTCAGCCAAGAGCTAGAAGGGCATTAAACTCAATATACCTTAACACTGATGTAACTCCCTCCTGGCTCCGACTACCGACAAGCTAAAGAGCTTCAAAGCGGCAGGCCTCAAAACCCATCTTTTCAGGCAAATGTGTAGTCAAGGACCCATTTCACAAAACTTGTCATCAATGACTGAAATCCTTGCTTCTGATTGGTTATCAGTAGATTTCTCACTGATTTTTATCATATGTCATTGAAAAAAAGGTTTTGTGAAATGGGTCCCAGAACTAGTGGAGGAGCGGGCGCCTTTGAATGTTTGAAACAGATAAGTGCTGTGGATTGCCATCATCAACTAGGCCACATGTATTAAGCTGCCATGCATGATATTAAGGTACAAAGCCATCATAATACACATGGAGTTTGGAATATGAAATTTACAAGCATGTTCAAACGTGGCGTGAATCATGAGTGTATATATATCTTTCATATTTACATAAATACAATACAAATGGACAATAAAGATAATAGAATACAAACAAGATCCATGTACAAAATCAAACAGATTTATTACAACTAAAGCTATATTTGGTGTGTATGACTCGTTTGGCGGACGGTTCTGGTGCCTGAACTTTCTGTTAACATTGTTTGAATAATAGTTATAAAAGTACATTACCCAGAACAATAACTTCAATCTTATCTAGAAATATTTACATCTTTATTGCTAGGTTACACAATGGCCTAACGCCTTGAAAATCTGCCAATATCTATGGTCTGTGTATTACTTGATAGTTTTCCTGTTATTTACACCAATAAACCAGTAGTAGGTATCCATTTGTACGCTTATTGCAGTTGAACCAGGCACTAAAATAATCCTCATTGAAAAATAATTGATTCTATTGGGATGAAGAGAGTTAATGGGAGGAGGAGAGGGGCCGAGTGAAAGATAGAAAGAGAGAAAGAGAGGAAGAGAGATATAGATAACTACAGTTAGGTTGAAAGAGATAGAGACATAGAAAAAGAAGACAGAATGACAGAGGGAGAGGTAGATAGATTGATAGAGAAAGGGAGGGGAGAGAGAGCCTGAGAGAAAGAGAGACATATTGCAGTCAGAGATGCAGTTAAGATGAAGAAAAATTGAATGGTTGAACAAGAGAGACACATCGATAATAAGGGAAAGCAAGATACCAAAATGTTTTATTTTATTGAAATAAAATGTCATGAATTCCACAAGATTGACCATGGTACACATGCTCATCTCCAAACAGTTCAGATTGTAGCTATTACTTTACCACATCTACATGTATCTTTACTCCATACTCAGCATCTTCCTACAAAATAGCCAAAAGACCTATTTCCCCCAAGAATCGAGGTTAATACCACCTAACAACCATTATCATACCACCCATCTCTTCTTTTTTAAACCATGAACAGATCCCAACAACAAAGCATCCATCAAAGAAGTGGATTACAAGAAAGAAATGAACATTAATCTTGTAAGGCCTCCTTGATGTTTATATTTGAACATGGCACAAATTTAGAGGATTTAGTGGATTTAGATGATGTCTTTCAAACATCAAACATAGGAATATTTAAAAATTGTTGGAAGACATCAGCATTTTATCACAGAAGGTGTAGCAAATTTGATTTTAGAGTGAGTAGAGAGATGCGGTATTGACAAGAAACATTGACCCCTTGTTGTTCTAGCCTTCTCTCAACTTCATCAAGGGGCGTAAGTTTTCAGATCACTGAGGGGCAAAGGTTTAATCTATTCTCCTAAACGCATCCAACATTTGTATATTATAATGATATCCAAACCTTGAGATGCTTTGATTTGAAATGACACACAAAAAGCAACCCCAAAATGTTTCAACTTACCCCTTCACCTGAAAAGAAGATCTTTGCTAAAATGGCAAATGAAAATGGCAACTGCAAGTTTGCTATTAGAAAGCGAATGAGTTATCCTGTTGTATAATCCAAGTTCAGAGATGAATATCTAGCCACTAATAGTTATAGCAATATATATGAGATCGAGTGCAAATTCCTAGATAAGAAAACTTTCCGTCAGGTTCTGGCTCAGAGAAGACGTTTAGCATCAGTTTGAAAACCAAGATACCAATAACGTCTCTCTAGTCCATGAACATCACAATAGTCTCACTGGTACAGTCACTCTCCTAATTAATAGCCATTTCACAGCAATCACTAGTCTACAATATACCCGTCGCCTGCAGTCTGTCTAACGAGACTACCGCTATGAATGCTAGTGATGTTTATACGTCATGCCTAATTAGACGCTCTACTTCAACATGTCGCATGAATACAAACATGTCTAGTTTATTTAGCTCAGTGGATATGTGACACTATACTGCTAAACCTTTTAACAACACCAAGCGAAGGAAGACCTTGCAATAATAAAATGTTTATTGAGTTCCTCTCTTCTCTGCTAAATGAATTTCTACCGCTATCTTTTATTCTCATTAGAACTTTGCCAGCTATTCACCTATAGCCTATCCCCAATGTATCTGCATTAACTAGGCTGTACTTTATCTGCTAACATTAGCATTATATGATAAAAGTTTATTAAAACAAATTGGATTAATAACACTTTTGGTGTCACATACATGTAGATTTAATTCCCTTTGGGATCTCAGAAAATCTTAATTTTAAGAAAAGGGGACATGAATGGACTCTGTGTAGTATATGGTGGTATAAACCTATATGAATGAAAAGTGAAAAGGTGTAATATCTAAACAAAATTTATGGAATCACAACTTTTTAAACTACATTATTCTGTGAATGAGGAAACACTGCAGCACATTGTTAATTTCTTAGGTAAAAGGCAGTTCTGAATATTCAAGGGCAAATATGGTGGTCTGAGCCTGGCAAATTATATTAAAAAGTGAACATTTACATAAAATGGCAGCCATCTGGTCATATAATAGAGAATATATGTCAAACAAAAAAAATATTGAGCTCTCAAGCTTGTAAGATTTTCTTTTGACAAACAAACAACTGTAGAAAATTGATAAGAATTACCATCAACTCTAACATATGCAAATTTGGGACAGAGGTTAAAATTTGAATAAATTTGCAACTATTTTTAGATTCAAACATGAATAATCATGTTGATTTTGTTTTTTATTTGTCAGGATTTAATAAACTACAGCAGGTATTCAGTCTGTAACTTTGCTATTGGTTGGAATATTTCTGGGGGAAAAACTGAAATTGGTACATAAACATAAATCTGTGTAAAACGTTGCTGTATTTTTAACCAAGTATATTGCACATGAAAAAATATTGCATTCATCTGACTAGCTCCTACGTACACAGGTCGAAAAGTGGAATTTGACAGGAAGGTATCTATAATTCTGTGCATTTCCTGAGACATCTCATTTCTGTTTCAGTTTTGGTAAGATTAAATCTTTGAAATCAATAAACCAGATACTATTTTTACAACATGGAGTTGCTCAATTGAGACGTCCACATCATTTAGAGTTTAAATAAACGTTGATCAAACGTTTCTTTTTATGAAGGTGACACAGACAGGAGACAAAATATTGCAATAAATAGGGCAACAACAAAATGAATACCACAAAATGAATAAAAACTCTGAATTTCATCAATGAATGAACACAAATTACTGAAATGTTAACACAAGAAATATGCTTCTTTTTAAATGTATCATTGCACTTGTTCATATCATACAGGTATACCCATAATTGTCTACTATTACATCAGACCCCTCAATGATGTATTTCAAACAGCACATATAAGCATATTTATAGTTGATATACAAACCTATATAATATATAAATTTATATCTTCAAAATATTCATCATCATATATATATAAAATCTCTGGAAAATATGTACACATCGCGAAAAAACGCTACAGTCCAAATTCGCCGGTGGGGAATTGCGAGTGCGCTCTGCGCGGAACGTTGGCTTGTTTGAGCGTGTAGACCAGCAAGCATTCTAGCCATTCTTGGGCTTCCTCGTGGGACGCCGCTTTGAGCTTGTAGCACCGTTCTTCGGTCTGGATGACGATGGTGCGATCGTCCTCCAGGGCGACGGGGCACCCCCGAAGGTAGATGGACTCGACGTTCTTCTCGTTTTTCCTCTTGGAGTAGTAGAGGTGACCCTGGGTCGTGAGCTCAAAGTATCGCCTGTTCCATTGCGAGGAGAGGGGTGATTTGGCGGTGCTTAGTTTCTCCATGTATCCCTCCTTGGTGGGGTTCTTTGGTAGTGGTTTGCGTGTCCTGGGGCTCGACACAGCTTTCGTCTTCTCCTGTAGGTGAAAAGGAAATGGAAAAGTGGAGGGTGAATATATAACTTGTCAGAAGGACAAAATAGTTGTAGATTATGGCTCAGTGAGTAATTTTTAGAGGAGTGGTTTTTTTTAATGTGGTATCCAGGGATACAAACCGAGTCGGTAGCCCTTGGGCAAGGAATTTTGTAAATGTTGATATTTTGGAATTGTGAGTTTCTTGTTTACAAGAAGCAAAATAACTTTGACTAAAATATTTTCGAAAAATATGCAATTTCATTCATCAAAGCGACATGAAATACACAAGACTTGACAAGAGCTGTAATCTGAATTGATTCACTGTTATCCTCATTGAATTCAATTCCCCTACACATATATCATGAACAAGGATCTTCTTTTCATCTTTTTTTTTCTCCATCATTTATTAATTGAATAATACATACATAAGAAACACATAATTAAATAGATTACAAAGAAAAACATAATTATATAGATTACAAAAAAAAAAAACATGAATTATACTTATATCACAAAATAAATTATACTTAAAAAAAAACATAATCAACATTTAATCCAGAGGTGATACTTTTCAACATTTGCCCTCCATATTAGTTCCTTTAAATAAATGTTGAACATGTTTGTAAAATTACATTTTCTTGTTGCGTATATAAAACATAAGAAGCTAAATTAAAGAATAGATTTTTAAAAACTACATTTTTTGAATTATTGCAATATTAAAATAAATATGGTCACTTTTATTTTATCACAAACATCTGTGTAAATAATTTACCTGGATGAAGCCCTGTCGCTTGTTCTGTCCACCTGCAGACCGGGCATCGGCACTGAACGCCTTACGCAAATTGGCAACGCTGGCAAGACCATCGTCACACTGGTCTGGGCAGCTCTCGGCAGAATTGCTCCTCTCCAAACTCATTAAACTGTCGATGGCCGAGTCACGCGGCATGCTCTTTCGAGGATTTCCAGAATATTTCTTTGATTTTCTCCTATAAGCAGAAAATAACAGTCAAATGTTTTTAAAAACTGTGATCATAGAGTAAATAAAATGAATGGCAACCGTTTTCCTATGTAATGATCAATATAAGGTACATGCTGGAATATAATAAACCTGGGATTATAGTGCACACCAAAAGAATTTTCATTCGTGTTTAAAAATGTTTAGAGTGCATACACAAGTAAGGAAAAGAAAGTGCTCTGGCATAATACGATATATGTCCCAACACTAATCAGTCAATACAAAAGGGAAAGTGCTGTACCTGTTCATGTCTAGAATCATTCCAAATACAAACAGCTCCATAAACAAAAAGAATATGAATCAGGTTAAATTTAATTTGATTGACAGATAAAGTGTTATATCTTATTTTGCCAGAATATGTTTTTTATTGGTTTCTTAATAAGAATATAAGCAACCATATAATCAAAATACAGTCAAACCTGCTTTAGTGACCCCCCCCCCCCCTGTCTACAAAGACCACCTGTTTACAAAGACCACATTTTTTGTTTCCCTTGAAAATGGTTTCTCATTGAAACATGTACTACAGGAACCAGTACATAAATACCACCTGCCTATAAAGACCACTTTTCTTGTTTCCCATGATCTTTATAGACAGGTTTTACTGTATCAAGTTAAATGAAATGTTGCTTGTTAATCCATTGGCTAAGAGGGTCAGGTGGTTCCTCTGTCTAGCTCAGAGGGACAAGAAAATTGGGTAGTGAGAGTTACAATAATAAACTGCCTAACCTGTTGAGCTTGCCGGCAGTCACCATGATGAGATCCACTTCTCTCTTGAAGGCTTTCACAAACTCAGCGATGGATGAAAAGATTTCCTGGGATTCTACGTTGACATTCTCACCAAACCTCAACTACAAAGAGAGAGAAGGAAACAAAAATCAATTTTTTAATTTTTTTTTGTCTATTCCCTTTGAAACCATCAACTGTGATATCCTATAGTTCTTGATGTTACTGATAAATATACAGATTGAAAATTCAAATCCTCTATCCTTTTTTGTTAAATATTCAATTGTTTGTTATTGTATTTCATTTGTTGCAATGCTTAGAGACTTCAGTGGAAAGCGCTTTCTAAGTACCGTTTTTATTATTATTATCATTATTATTATTATTATTCACAAGTTGCTCTATACGTTGAGTATAGTTACGGTATCTAATCTGTAACAGGGGTAATATTTGACATTTATTTTTTAATTCACAAGGCCTATATTGGCATGAATCCCATGAAAAAGAAACACAATTCAAAATATATGTATATCATTCTGTAAGTATTCAATTTTGTAAAGTAACAATTAAATAATTAGAGCTAAATTTACAAACCTCAATATAAATTTTAACTAGAGACTTTATGTTTCTGGATTTAATTTGAATGTATGAAAGTCTTTTGCATCTGTATAAAACATCTGTTTGGAACCAGAAGGTTGATTTTTTTTGTGTAGAATGTTACCAGTTAATGCCTTTCTGGCTCCAAACAGATAAAATGTGTGTGTGTGTGTGTGTGTGTGTGTGTGTGTGTGTGTGTGTGGGGGGGGGGGGGCTTATCAATAACTTACCAGCATCTGTTCAAAGAGATTTTTCATATCGTCTGATTTGTCCTGGAGATCACTGAGCTTGCCTTCGTAGGATTCCACAAACATCTGTGGAAATAATAAATATTATCAACATATGAACGACAATTACATTTAATACAGGCAACGCTGATCATCGATTGTAGATAGAACTTGTATCGCAAGTATACCAGACTGAATGTATTGTATTCAAGCATCCCAAAGTCAACAACAGAACATTGACTTTGAAATTAATCTACTCCTGTTGTAATCCTCCCATGTCTGTTACCTTAATGTAAGGTAAATATAAGTGAATAAAATTAATCCTGCTTACAATAATCTTTGGTGTTCCTTCTATACTTATAAAGCAGTGAATGTTTGACACAGCCCTATATATATTGTCGATGGAGGTTTGGGCATATGATGTCAAATGATGCTGACATTTTGGTACGCTCCAATGAGCATTGTCATTGCATACAGGTATTGTGATAATTTAACACAAGCATTGCTAAGTATATGACCTATGTTTACCTATTCCTTAGAATAAGTTCCAATTTAATCCTATCACTTTATTCAATATACACAAGACTTTATCAATGCTATAACTTCCGGAGCCTATGACCTACAAGCATTGCTTTCTCTTTAGGCTCCATCATATTTCTCCCTTTATTTAACTTACCGGTAGTCTTATGTATTATTATCATTTGTATAAATAAAATAAAAAAAATAAAAAATGTAACATGCCAAATGTAATAATGTATTATACAACAAGTGAAATATGAAAATAAACTGAAACTGAACTGAACTGATATATTGATAATGCTACTGACCTCTATATCATCGACGAATGCAATATCTCTCTCGGGTGGGTTTTCAACCTTCATCAAAACAGATGCATTCTTCTTCACCTTACTTAGATCCTTCTTCATCACTGTAAGATAAAAAAAAATGCAATAGATTCATTCATTTAACAAAAACTTTGAGTTCTGGGCCCCGTCTTTACAAAAAGTTGATATCAATCACAACTTATTTGCGATTGATATTAAAGGTAAAGACCAGTATTGGAAATGCCCCAATTTCAAAAAATGAAATGGAAGCTCTCATTACCAATCGTGTGAAAGAATATGTTTTGACTAATACATGACGATACAAAATTTGCCGGGAAACCGCCTACTAATTCATATATTTGGTAAATTTGTTTCTCTCATGGTCTGTGAGAGATATAGGGTAGTCCCATATACATCTTTCTGTGTATAGTGCTTGTAACTTTACGAAGAATGGGCCAAATTTCTTATCATTTTGATGATTCGAGAACCTTGCAGATGCTAGATGCTAGATGATCAACCTTTTCTGATCGATTCCACAACGTTTCTTTCACAATGCAATCGCATGACCATTACTGGTCTTTACCTTTAATTGCAGCTATGTACATGATATGAGACTGCAAACTTGCATTTGATTGGAGAACTTGCGATTGATTTAGATCGATCGTAACTCTTTGTAAGACAGGGCCCTGGTGAAGATGAAAAATGATTTGTGAGTTTTCTAATTCTTTACAAGTCAGTCTGAAAGAAAATCATAATAGTGTTCAAATATGACAAGAAATAGATAGAAAGTTAGAACCAAACTCTCATTCAACAAGTACAATCCCATATACCGCAAACATACATTATACAGCAACTGGCTAATTTGAACATTGAAATTTGCATATAATTCAAAATCCTCTTTGTACACTTTAATGATCAGTTTGTACTTCTTGCATTTTCTTCACAATAATAGATTAATGCCCAATTCAATTGCAGAAGAAAGTTTCTAGAAAAAAATTGATGAATAAGAGTACATTATGCACAATGCGCATGTGACATGGAACTTTCAAATATACATATCATTATTTTTCCTCGAATTCATATTCTTCTACCCGAAATTCAAAATCTTTCTTCCTGCAGTATAACAGAAACAAGCTTTTTATTATCATGTTATCAGAAGAAATTATTCTCAGAAAAGAAAAACTAATATGAACATTCAACTCACCTTCAACCTCAGCTTGTAGAGCCTTTATTGAAGCTAGAATAAGAAGAAGAAAAAAGAAGAAAAAAGAAAAGAAAATAAATATATGAAATGGGGATAAAAAATAATTTTCCTCTATTTTTATAAACAAGAATGGAGTCTTCATATTTACACTTGACACTGAATTCATCGCATTTAAACCTAAATCACGCTGTCAAATCGACTCCACACTGACTCCAAACCAACCGGTTTCATGCCATTGGAGTTTAACGTAATTGTTTGCTTGGTCTGTAGTCAATCTCGGACTTGTTGCAACTAACACTACACAATAATTGTTATGAGCTACTGAAATCATGGCATTTGATTGGCTGAGAGCAAATTTGTCATAGAAATCTAGCATTTGTTATTGATAACAAGTTGTATGCAACGGGCCCTGGCGTTCGTATTGTCTGTGTAACTGGGGTATTCTTTAAGTATTGCTTTGCCTATTCCCTTTTCTTCATGAAAGAATCACATTAAAACTGAAAACAGGAAATAAGTTCCTGGCCTTGTATCTTAATTACCATCGTTTGCATGCATGATTGGCTGTAGCTCCTCTATGAAACCCAGGAGGTCTGGTTCGTGTTTGTGGATCTGTTGGACCAGGTACTTCAGGAGGGTGAAGTTCTTGTCCCTCGCCCTGCACTCCGCCAACTGTAAATGAAGCAACAAAAAAAAACATTAAAGGCATCGTTTAACAATGTTGTTTAACAATGTTAAATCTGAGATGCACGGCCCTACGTGTTATCAGTGTCTGCCTCAAAAAAGTAAAAATCTTTAAATGACCGGTTTTACCATACTCATTTTCCCAAATAGACTGTAGTGTTATGAAAACCGTTAGGAAAACGCCAAATTTGGTTTCGATTTCCAATCATAAATATCTTGATAATCACACAGGCGATCGGCTTGTAAAAGTCATGGGGTCCCTGACTAACCTTAAGGTTTATAACTATCATTGCAGCATGAGGTAAATCCAGGATTTTGTTTCAGAATTTGAGACAAAGTTACCGGATCCCTTTAACATGTAAGAAATCCTTATCTTTATAACATGCCATAGACCTACTATAAAAGGTCCAGCCCACTATATGAATAATACACTGTTTATCATTTTCTTCCACACATACAGTGTAATGATCTCACTTTCATTTCAACCTACAAAAATTTATCAGATTGCATATCAAGTTTTGGGAGAAAAGTATAGCTGTGTAAAAATTAAAGATAGGGGGAAATATTAACTTGTTAAAATGTTGCTGTTTTCTTTACATTGCATGATCAATTATAATCAGTTCGGACAAAAGCAAAGTCACTTTATAACTTCAATATAAAGATGTTTATTAACCATTATTCATCTATGATTCAATTATAATGTAATAAGATTTGAAAGTCTGCCCAATTATGTCCAGCAGCTCTAAAAAGAAAATAAAATCATCTTGAAGACTCAAGTCGACTTGGCATCACCATCAGACCCAAGCTGTGACAGGCTAGACACAAGACAAATAAAGTTTTCTATAAAAAGAACTGGGTTGTTTTAATGATTCACAAATGAACATCTCATCTGATAAGAGTCATAAGGGGGCTAGGTCATAGCTAGGCTTCGGGACAGAGTTAACGTCCTTCTGGCTCTCAGCAGAGAATCTATTCTCTAGGGTTGTGTTCTCTGTATCAGCGTTTCCTCCGACTTCCGCTTACTCTCAAACGGTCGATCGGGGGAAGTGGCCTCAAATGTGATTAGGGCTCTCTTAAAAGGTCCACACTAGCTCTTCCCAATGCAGTATGTGTACGACATTCAACATGATTAGCCATGTGATGTACAATGACATACAGAGGGCTATGGCGGTGGGAGTTAGCTAAAGCATGGGAGAATGGTTAAGAAAGTGACCATTTTTATGAAACACAAGTATTTCAATCTTCCATTCATAGCAGAAAACAATTGAAATAATTTACTTAATTACTATCAATACAGTATTTGGCATGTTTGTATCTGGTATATTTGGGTTATTAAGATATGAATATGGTATAGTCTTGATTCATGTAAAGGTTTAATATCAAAATTTGAATATTTGATTATTTGATCACAATGTGTAGCTCTTGATAATGGATCTTCAGGGAGAAAATAATATAGGAAATTCCTTGATACAGATAACTATTTACTTTGTCCTATACTTAAAGAAATGACCAAAATACATGCATCAAACCATTCTCAACATCACACGTGTCATTCTACCTGATGTTCAGACATGCTGTTGCTGTATTTAATGTAGTCCATAATATGGACTATTATCAATTATTATCCATTTATATTCCTTAACATTATCAACATTATCAATTTAAGTTTCAGATTCCTCTTATAACTCTGTCAAGTGTGGGACATTGTCAGCATTCATATTAGACCTGACCTATATTACAAACTGTACTTCATGGATTAAATTTGGATTGGGTAGGTACTAATCTGCAATGTTGGTAGCAGGAACCATGTATACCAGTGGGAAAATAATTGGAAAAATACAGGCGTTTTAGCCCTGAAAAGTTTCAAAGAAGTTCTTGTAAACTTTCATGTAAAAACTTCTCAGGTAAAAACACAATGACATACATAAAAAGCACTGTGAGCATGTTCATGTAAAGGCGCTCAATAAATACCAATATGTATGTATGTATGTATGTATCTCACTTTCAATACCCATCATCCAAAAAACAGCATCCGTGAAGAGGAAATTATTTTAACTTACCTTGGGTAGTGTTCCCAGTTTGAATCCCATAGCGATTCCTTTACTGCAGCCACTGTTGATGAAGTTACCGACAGCCAGGACGTATTCCAGTACTGAAACAAACCTAACGCTGTTACATAGCACATCCAGGCTGTCCAGAACATGCTCAATCGTCTAGGAAGGAAGCAAAAAGAATATGGTAATAATTATCAACATATTTGTGATGGAATTATATCAATAAGCTAATCAAAAATAGGTTATTATTCCTTGTTCCTAATATAAAGAAATTATAACGTCACACTGATACTACACTATATACTACTATTATTCTATCACTAGTTGAAATATTCTATTGATAGTAATAATATAAGTTCTTTATGAACCTATACAAATTATATACGGTCCTGCTATACGCAGGATAGCTGCTAAAGCGGACTAGACTTGTACAACACAAAAACTGTGGAGCGTTCCATGACATAATTATGCTCCTGTGACAATTACTAACAGGAACCGAATTCCTGACTTCAACTGGCCTGGACCCAACACTATACACAGCCCTAACCCTTAATACATAACTAAAAACTCAATCATAATCATAACCCTATACTCTATGCCTGAGATGAATTAGAGCTTAAAGCAGATGTCGCTAGAGTAAAAGTCAGGTCACCATGGAGACAAAACTTACCGGTGCAAGGTGCTCGTATTGGAGGGGGAACTCGTTGACGATGAGGAGAATATCTAGCCTGGTCTTGAGATGAGGAATCTCACAGAGCTGCAACATGAACTGATCCGTCTGCTCCAGCTCTTGAGGTTTGTCACGGTACTGGCCATATGCCTCTACATCCTCAGTAGTAGGGTGATATCTGTACATAGGACAGGAAAGAATAAAGGAAAGAAAATATATTTAAGCAACTAAGGCCATAGGATTCAGTACTCCCTTGATTGTTAAAGTAGTCACCCGAAGAACATTCATGACAACTGATAATGATGGACAAATTATATATGGATGGATAGATTTTCTCTTGACAAACACAAATAATTTGCTGAAAAATCATAAATACATCATGGAAAGGTGTAAAATGCAACTTTGTGGCTAGCTGAGTCTCGAATGTGACGTCACAAATCTTGACGCTCTACGGAGGACCGCTGAAGGCAGAAAATCTGGATCTCAAAATTAACATTTATGAGAGATGATTACTGCGGGCCTCAAACATATTTTGAAGGGGGAAGTTGTTATATTTGATCAGTAAGGCTTCCCCTTTGCAATGATACAAATTTTGCATTAATTCAAAGCACTTTAGATTCTTTGGGTGACTATTTTAAAGGTAAAGACCAGGTATGGTCATGCGATTGCATTGTGAAAGAAACATTGTGGAATCGATCAGAAAAGGTTGATCATCTAGCATCTAGCATCTGCAAGGTTCTGGAATCATCAAAATGATAAGAAATTTGGCCCATTCTTCGTAAAAATACAAGCACTATACACAGAAAGATGTATATGGGACTACCCTATATCTCTCACAGACCATGAGAGAAACAAATTTACCAAATATATGAATTAGTAGGCGGTTTACCGGCAAATTTTTTATCATCATGTATTAGTCAAAACATATTCTTTCACATGATTGGTAATGAGAGCTTCCATTTCATTTTTTGAAATTGGGGCGTTTCCAATACTGGTCTTTACCTTTAAGGCTCGTTAAGATATGATGCGGAAAACTGCAGCTTTTTTTGGATATTTTTTGATATTTTAAACGATGACATAAAGTGTAATATGCTTCACATTGTTGTATCATATAACACAGAGCTCAGTGAATACGACAAAGTCCTTTGTTGCATGTAATTGCCTTTCATTTTAAACATAAAATTGTGGCGTCTTATTTTCTGCAGTGGTTTATCGCGTTATGTGTGAACAAGCCTTTATGAAGAATATGATTTTAAAAAATACCAAAGCAGAAGTGATTAATACAGATTGATTGGAATAAACTAAAGAAATAGAGAAAACCAGAGCAGAAGAATTAAGGTATATAGTACTTGGGTGGTTTTTGTGAAAGTTTTGAAAAAGTGAGAGAGAAAGAGAGGAGAAGAAGTGAAGGAAAGACATTCGATAGGAATATACAAATGGAAAAGGGGGAAGGATATAGTGAAGGAGGAAGAGACAGAGAGACAGAGAGAGAGACAGAGAGACCGAGAGAAAGAAAGTGAAAGAGAGAGAGAGAAGGGAGGGGAGGATTGAAAAGGAGCAGGGAGAGAGAAGAGAATGAGGGGGAGGAGATAGTGGGTGAGAAAAGGACAGTGAGACAGAGAGAGAGAGAGAAAGAGAGAGGGAGAGAGAGAGAGAGAGAGAGAGATAGAGAGAAAGTGAAAGAGAGATAAGGGAGGGGAGGATTGAAAAGGAGCAGGGAAAGGAAGAGAATGAGGGGAAGGAGATAGTGGATGAGAAAAGGACAGTGAGACAGAGAGAGACAGAGAGAGAGAGAGAGAGAGAGAGAGAGAGAGAGTGAAACAGAGAGAAGGGAGGGGAGGTTGAAAAGCAACAGGGAGAGGAAGAAAAGAAGGGGGAAGGATGTAGTGAGTGAGATTAAGAGAGAAAGAGAGAGAGAGAGAGAGATAGAGCAAGAAAAATGAAGCTCAGACATTACTCTACCAGATGTAGACATTGTGGGATATAGCATAGGATCAGTTAATTGATGGAGGAATGGAGGGCAGGTTAACGAGTTTTTAAGTTACAAACAAAAAGAAAAGAAAAAATATGTAAAACAAAAACAGAAACAAGAAAGGCAGGAGTGATAATATAGTGATAATATAGAAGGGATGGCAGGTTAACAAGTTATATGTTACAAACAAACACATGAAAAAAAACAAAAAAAAACAAAGAAACAAAACAAAAACAAGATAGGCAGGAGTGATAATATAGTGATAATATAGAAGGGATGGCAGGTTAACAAGTTATAAAGTTACAAACAAACACATGAAAAAAAAAAAAAAAAAAAAAAAAAAAAAAAAAAAAAAACACAAGATAGGCAGGAGTGATAATATAGTGATAATATAGAAGGGATGGCAGGTTAACAAGTTATAAAGTTACAAACAAACACATGGAAAGAAAAAAACAAGAAAAAACAAAAACAAGATAGGCAGGAGTGACTTGTTGTTTGTTTGTCCAAAGAAGAGTAAATTTATTGAATCTATACTCATTCAATGTATTTCACTTTCAAGTAAAAGAGCACTTTAACCCATTTAAACTTTTAGGTTACTGATAAAATCAAAACATGTTTATAACTAACATTTCGTTTCAAAAAAAATTCCTTGTCCTTGAAGGAAAATTTCTCACTAATGAATCTTGTCACTGTGCCACACGTATAGACATCGATATACATTGAAGAGATTGTAACACTGATGGAGGTCACAAGTGTTATATTGCTCTGGCTCGTAATGTTATGAACCAGAGCTATATAACACTGAGTTCCCATAGGCAATCTTTTTATTCAGATGGTCATATCTCAGCCAATACTTAACCTATTCCATTGGTTTTCGACCTTTGGACATTATTTTTGGTGGTCTTTCGAAAAATGAAGAAAAAAATAGAGAAATTCCAAAAATAGATTTTTTGATGACATCACACTTCATTACTCTATATACTTGATCCTTTCAGCCTGACCACATTCCCACACCACACAGGCATAGCTGGTGAGTACCTGTTGATAGAATCAGGCCACTTCTTTTCACACCATGCCCTTGATCCCGTTTCCTGTGTGACAAGTGTGTAGGAACAATGTCTAATTGGAATGGCCATGATGACCAGACACAAGTCACACTCATCCGGCAAGGGTTTGTACGACCGTGGGACTTTAGGATGTTTTGAATAACGTATAGCGAATTGTAAAAGACATAATTTCTTCATGTAGAGTTAGAACCACATCATTAGGTTATGGAGCTGGTAAAAACATGTATTATCTTGAACTAGATGCAAAATTAGAGAAAAAACCCTTCAAAATTAAGATCTTTAGATAACGTTTTTTCCTTCAATAATAAACTATAAAAAAAGTGAATTCTGTAGATTTGTGATGTCCCTTGAGAGCTAGACCAATGGTGAGAGCAACCAGTGGCATGAATGGCCTGCCATAGTTCAAGTCCAACTGAAGTCCATATATCAGTCTTTGTGAAACATCCCCCGGGACTAAAATGATAGTTGGTCGTCTTTGCTTTACAAATACAAGACCGCATGTTATAATGCGTTTTATACAGAAACCACCTTTTTGCCTCTTGTTTGTAAGAAATAATTTTAATCTTCACAACATGACCCTCCTTAAGAGGGGACCTCCTATTCACCTCCTATCAGAGGGACAAATGGAAACAACACAACAGACATTACCTTCTGATCACATTGATATGCTCCGGATCTAAGCCGCCATCTTGTTCGCTGAGGATGGTCAGCCTGTACTTGAGTTCCTCGGCGTCCATCTTGAATCCTGCCAGGAAGATGCCGAGGTTCTGAGCAACTTTCGGATCTAAGAAGCTCTTCAGCTTCCTCTTGCTTGTTTCGGCTTTGGATGAAATGCCAACGAGAAAAAGAAAAGATGGAATATAGATAGACATTATTAATACATGTACTCTGAGCTTTTCCTTTTAACTTGTAACTTTCAACTTTAAACTGTGAACTTTTAAATCCAGCTTTTAGCTTCTAACCCCTGCAAATAGTCTTGCCAACACCTTTTCTATATTTACTCTTATTACTATGACAATGGAACTGTGCAGGAAGGGGGGGGGGGGTACAACTTAAAGCCATTTATGGCCAAACATGATACCGGTATGCTGAAATACTATGGGAAAGGGAACAGGAATGAAAACTGAGCATAGAATACTGACATTTTGTTGTATTTTATTTATATCAATGAAAGTATTATTTTAGCTGAATTGTGTGTTGTGATCAAAAGTCTTAATACACTGTACTTTCCAATATCAGTCTTTATTTTTTGCTCTCTTTTTTTTTACTATGTATTGCACTATTTCACTACTCGTTAAGTTGTTTATTGTTTTAAATTGAATTTTAATTGTATTAATTGTATTAATATAATATTCTCTTGCAAAACTGTTCCATTGTGCACTGCAAGGACTACCCTGTATAAAGAGCACAGAATAAATAATTAAATAAACAGGTATGTTCCTTTAACTGATTGCCTATATGGACCAAGTGGCCCCTGTATAATGTCTATGGGAATACAAGAATTCAGTAGCCAATCGGTTAATGGATTGCAAGAAAATTTTAGAGTTCTTGTAAGCACCAATGAAGGGAGAGAGGGGAAAAAGGGTAGAGAGAACAAAATGGAATAGGGAAAGAGAGAGAGAGAAAGAGAGAGAGAGAGAGAGAGAGAGAGAGAGTGCACTACAAGGACCAGAAAGGAAAGAAAAATAAAAAGGAGAGGGAGAAAAAAAAGAAGATAGAAGAAAAAGAAGAAGAAGAAAAAGAAGAAGAAGAATGAGAAGAAGATAGAGAAAAAGAAGAAGATAGAGTAAAGGAAAAGTGCAAGTAATGGGGGACCCAGGAAGAGACAGAAAAGAAGACAGCGAAAGAAAGTAAGAATTGTGAAGATGATTAAAAATAGAAGAAAGTGCCTTACCAGGTTCGGTTGTTTCTTTTTTCTTATCTGAGTACATAGCTTCTAGAACATCTGTATCGATCAAGTCTGTTAGATCCCTAGCCGTCTTCCATATCGAGCTGCTTACCTACAGTCCAAAAACAATATGACAAGTGTCATCATAGCCATTCGTAATCTTTGTTTCCTTCACTCATATAAAGACAGCGTTGCATTTGAGGCCTTAGAGTCCTATCAAGACCAAGTATAGATGGGAAAAGTTAAGATGACATTCATTTAGCATTTGATCTTTGGTTTGAGACCAAGAGTGGGAAATTGGTCATATACCGTTTGTCTAATATCACCGTTGTAAGAATACTATAGCCATTTTGTAATGTCCTTTAAATGGAAGCTCAACCAAAACATCGACGCTGTCACACTTGACGCCTCTAACCAACCACACAAACTCAACGATCTTGACAATTCTGACCACAAAGGCCCTACATGTTGTTCAGCGAGAATTATGATTACAAAAACTGTGGGTGATTCTTTATCTCACAGAGTTTTCTTTTTTCTTCTGACAAAGTGATATTCAAGGAGGCATGATGGCTCAGTGGTAGAGCATTGGTCTCGTAACCAGAAGGTCCTGGGTTCAAAACCAAGCCGTGCCTTTTGGTAAGGCATTAATCCACGACCTTTGCATTTCCAGTCAAGTGCTTACACCACTCAACCACAACACCTCTGCATTAAGCCCATAAGACAAACAAAAATGACTTTTGAAAACAGAGATCAATCAAGTTCACATGAGTCTAAATATAGCCCAGCTTAAAGGCATTCAGGAAAATGACATGAAGTCACCTTGGATGTAGAGGTGTCGTGGTCTAGTGGACATGTCACGGGTACCGGTAGGATGCAAACGTCACATGGTTTGATTGGCATGTGTGCACTTGTAAAATGGAGCCTGGCCAGAATCCTCCCCAGGGAGCGCAGCGCGTGCTCTATCATGTGCGGATAAGCAATTGAATCCAATGACCGGGGGTAATAAAAATTACAATTCAAAACCCTTTATAGAAACGTATTATTAAGCGCTATACAAATGTGACTATTATTTGACGCATTACTTACCATGAGATTGGAGATCTTATTCCAATGGAACGGTCTCATCTTGACCTTGGATTTGACCTTGAACGTTCTTGAGGGCAGTGCCATGGCTACAGGGGGTGGGGGAGGGGCGGGTGGAGCTGGTATAAATGGGGGAGCTGATCAGGAAATTGAAGAAAAAAATGGGGAGGAAAACATTATTTTAGTTATTTGAGTGAAATATATACTGAATGTGCATATAAGTGTATCATTACAATGAGGATAACAGACCTGACCATTGAAATTGAAAGGACTTAAAGTGATTGTACTCAATAGAGAAGGAAATTCCATTTATCAGGAATACCGACACGTCACTTTTAAGCTTTTATATAGCCCATACTTGCACTTTTGACGTGTTGCTCTAATCATTATAGCCCATAACTCAAATAAGTTCAAAATGTTCAATTCAATTTAGACGATACTATACATAGGGTAGCTATCAACTAAGTAACACTATTCCGAAACATTTTCTTCAAAAAAATAAAAATTGCATGGTCAAATCTTCTGACCGTTCATTTTTAGGATTCTGCATAAAAGAGATCTACATTCATATCTTCTGTAGATAAAGGGATAAAAATTGTCTGAAATTTCAGTTTTTATTATAAAATCAAAAGGACCACGTGAAGATTTAAGGGTATTTGTAGATCTAGTGAGAACACAGTTCCATATTCTTCATGAGAATTTCCTAGCACATGTGTGCAAATGCATTTTGTGCCGCTTGAAGGACATGAAATTAAAGATTCCACTGCAGTGAAATGAAATAGATCCCCCAATCATTGAAACCTCTGAAAAGTGAAACTTTTCAAGTGTTAAGACAAACAACAAGTTCAAATTCAAATATCATAGCTAGCCAATCATGAACATTAAAAAAAAAAAAAATGATCATGTAAATCTCATTTTCAAAGTCCAATGCCAATGATATTTGCAAAAAAATATGTTAGAAGACAAACTCAACAGATGTGTGAATTACAATTGAATAATTATACAGTAAATCAAAACCTCTATAAATTCAAGACTCTGATGCAAGTACATGCTAGGGAAAGGTCATAACATGCATACAAACAAGTTTCAAGTCGTGTTTTTACCAAGACACTTTCTTTGAGCCTCACTCGACGATCATTCTGTGGTTTTGTGGACTGATTGATTGTTGCGGCTGTGCAGTTTTTTGTTAACCTATTTACTCGTTCAGTTCAACACCTGTGTACCAGAAGTCACTTTTGATTAAGCCCACTGTACCATCGTCATGCGATCCAGTTTTTGAAGATATGTTAATTATATCAGATATGGACATGTAATAACAAACATCGTCTTTGTGATTTAGGTTCTTAATAATGCAAAGGACATTCGTGTTGCACAAAACATCATTTAGTCTACAAACATAATTTTGATTTCGGTTAAAAGGTTGACCTATTCCCGACTACCTACGGAGAGTGTACTTTTTATTAATGGACTATCATTTATAAGAAAATTGCCAAACAAAGTTGGACCCAAAGGCTCAAATTCAGAGGGGGGGGGGGGGGGGGGGGGGGGAGGCATATATTAATCCATAGTTCAAACCTCTGTTAGTGTATAGTATGCTTTTGACTTTACATCACATTTTTGGGCTACGAAAACGCAGTAGACATTTTATATTATGAGCTTTATATTTTCTTTTTCAACCCATGGTTGAAGGTTACACAATGATTTTAAACATTCTCTGTGAATTCAGGCTCGTAATCATTGGAGAAAGAAAGACTGGAGAGGGAGGTTGGGAGAAAGAGAGATGAAAAGATTAAAAATAAACTGGAGACAGAGAAAAAGAAGGTGAAAGAATGAATAAGAGACTGGATAATAATAATAAAAATAATAGTGGGTTCTTGTATAGCGCTCATGTCAGTCAGATTTGCCCCTCCTGGTGCTCCCGATTATTACCCTGGATGAACACTGATAGAAACAGAGGGTTAGGGAATAGAGAGGATGAGATCGTCTTCGGTGCATAGCATAATTTCCTGTGTTCTATAGCACTGATAAGCACAATCTGTCTGTCACCAACGTTTATAACTAGCAAGTGAGGTGCACTTTTAGTGGTGGAAACCCGAAGGTCTGATATTATTCACATCCTATGGATTAATACCTCAAGGTTATAGTTTAGATAATACAATGGATAAGGCTTGAGTTCTCCTCCATAATCACTGTTATAATTACCAGTAGCGAGTGTGACACACGTACTGTACAACCGAGCACATATAATGTGACGGCAAAATCAACTGTTTACTTTGTAATACAGTGGTTTCCAATGGAAGGAACTATATTTATCTATCACTTTACAATATTTTATTGATAAAATGGATATGAGACAGGCAGATACAGAGAAATCTCATTCATAATCACTGTCATAACCAGTAGCGAGTGTGACACATGTACTGTAAAACCAGGTCTAATGTGTTGGTAATATCAACTATTTACTGTGTAATACAGTGGTTTCCAATGGAAGGAACTATATTTATCTATCACTTTACAATATTTTATTGATAAACTGGATATGAGAAAGTCAGATAGAGGGAGTGAGGCAAATAATAATGTCAGCTTTCAGCAAGAAGGCCGTTACTGCCACGGACCCTACGTAGATCTTACAGCATTTTTTCAGGCAGCTGATAAGAGACAGAGAGACAAAAGAGTAGGAAAGAGAAAGAGAAAGGTTTAAAAAACAGAATGAAGATTGAGAGAATGTGTGAGAGAGAAAGAAGAGGGAGAGAGCTAGAAAGAGAGAAAAAGAGAGAGAAAGAGAGAGAGGAGGAGGAGGAGGGGGAAGAGGAGGAAGGAGAAAGATCTATACAAAAACAGAATGAAGAAATAGAATGTGAGAGAAAGAGAGAGAGAGGGGGAGATAAGAAGACGAGATATATATATGTATATAATATATATATAGAGAGAGAGAGAGAGAGAGAGAGAGAGAGAGAGAGAGATAAGCATACTATTCATTTACTCCAATATTTATTGAGATTAATTACATTATAAACCTGTGAATAAACTAATCAGTTACTGGAACTACTGCAATAGCAACCGCACAATGACAATGATATTTTGACAACATTCCAATTAGTATTTTGTATATCACCGAAAATAAATTTCATTAATGACATCATATGATTGTCCAAATAAATCCAGTGACTTTCTATTATTGAATTGACTGATTGATTTATTTCATTTCTTCTGGAAAAGGGGGAACCTCTTGGGTCGGTGACAAAAACAAATACTAGAACTCAAAAAGGAAGTAAGCGCAGTTCAACAAAGTGCTTGCTTTTTCTATTTCTCATAACTTGCATTAGGTTTTCAAGAGCAAATAGCTGGAGTGTGCAGTATGTAAAAATTAAAAAAAATGAAAGAATAACCGTGCACACTCCATGAGTTGTAACAAAACTATATATATATAAGGTACAAATAAGAAAGTAAAGGGGGGGGGGGTATTTTCTGTTTAAAAAATAGGTGTATATTGTACATGTATTTAAGATTCATAAAAATGTCTTATGCAACGGGTTGTATAGACAAATAATAAATGTATTTTAAACCCCAAATACAATCATCTTCCTAGCATGGCTGCCAGTTTCCAATGTGTAATTTAAAAAGGCCCACTGACCCAAAATCATAACCATTATATCATCTATTTAGCACAATTGTAACTTTCTGCACTCTATATTTCTTATATGTTATTGCTATAATTATTTTCTGTGGTATAGTGAAGAAATTATAAAAATGTGTAAACTCCAGTTTGTGTTGTGCATAGAATTGCCTCAAATATCCCTTTGACTTTTCTGAGAAAATTTGAATTTACGTCATGTATAAACCATGAAAGCATGTTTCTAACATACACGTACATGTATGACATGAATAACAAAATCAAATAAAATAAAATCTACACCTTTTCCTGTACAAAACATCTCTTTAAGAAAACAAGTTTACAGATATTTCAAACTTTCTTCCATTAGTAGAGAACTTACTGCATGTAACCTACATCTGATTCCAAGATGTAAAATATGAAGAACGTTTGAAGAACGTGAAATGAGACATTTGAAGCAGTGATTCATTCACTATTTTTGTATTTTTAGCCCCAAAACTTGAGTGTAACTTCCTGGGTCAAATCGAATCGTATCATGTGGAGACTGTAAGACTGTGTGGTACTGTGCAATTTTAGCAAGATGGTAACATGTATAAGGTATGTAAAAAAAAAAATTACATTATGTGCATCATGCATGATCACATAAGAATATTCTTTTCAACTTATTTGAATGATTAAGTCTAGCTGCAATGATGTTATTGTAGTAAGTAAACCTGCATAGGAAAACAAAAATTAAAGATAGGTCCAGGTTGTCACAGTTTTTTATCTAGTACTGTAAATGCTCTTATATTCATGTGATAAATTTTTCGCGCTGAGCAACCCCAAAACATAATTTCTGGTTCTTATATTTGCGTTGCATCCAATTCAGACTGTTCAAAACACACATAAGAAGTCATGCTTAAGTTTTTGTGAGTTCTCAAATTCGCGCTTGCCCATCTTAGCGAGAAATCCGCAAATATTTCTACTTTTACAGTATTACATTACATTACATTTCTTTGCATCAAGGTTTTTCCACACTGTTTCATGGCAATATGATGTGATCATTATATTCTAATGCTTTAAAAAAAATTGTAACACCCTGTAGTAGAATAAAATAACATAAATTGGGGTGATTTGCAAGCAAAGCTTTATTGGTTGTTACATTTGCTGAACTCATCTGGTTCCAATTTATTGATGGGGGTAATTTTTTTTGTGATACCCTGTAGTGGAATATAGGCCCTGGTGGGTGGTGACAGCGGCACTCGTCTTTTGACCTACTTTATCTTCCGAAAGCGCCTCGGTCTTGTCAACCTTCCTGAAACTTCCTGTCTTATACATTAAGGGGAGGATGTTACAGTTCTTAAGGAGAGTCAAGACTCGATTGGAGACGCTCGGTGAAATGATATATTTGTGACGATTGTTTGGAGAAAGTTACAGCTCCGGATCGGAGGGAGAATTGCAGATACCGGATATTAGATTGAATTGTGATCTCTCAAGTACAACAGGATATGGTGACTATATGGGTTGTAAATTGAGTGAGAATGA